AGAGGGCGCCCTAGACAGACCAGGACAGTGGCGGGGCGAGTCTTTTTTAAAGAAGTTAAAACCGCAGGGATGTCTTGGGAGACTGCAAAATACACAGCCGGGGACAGTCCCAAATGGAAGTATATAGTTGAGAATGTATGCACTACAAGTAGTAAAGAGGACTAAGTGAACCACATGCAGTGTTTCTTCCAGACTTTTTTCTCCGGGGGAGGGGGGGGGAGGCACTTGACATTTTCGTGGAGGGGGGGTGGACACTGGTAAAAGTATGGTTTCTATATATATATTTTATTTTGTTGGGGGGGGGGGGGGCGGTAGACTTTCTCCCCCCCCCCCTCTCCCCCCTTCATACGGGCAGGTAGAGACTAGTTTCCTAACTCAGCTTCCTGCTGAAGACGATTTTAATCAATGCATCTTTTATTCTTATATGTCCACGCAAAGAGTAATAATGCAGGACGACAAAAATAAATGAACATAAATAATAAGTGATAGATCATTTTATTTAAAAATCTGTAAAAAATCAAGGCATTTTATTCTCAAATTCCCCTTCCCCCCACCCCCACCTAAATTGATTATATTCAACAATTAAATATCAAACAAAGATAAACTGTGACTCTTTTTTTTTTATGTGACAGGCAGAACATTAAATCGAGCTTTAACATTTTTACAATTATTTGATCATTTTTTTTTTTTTCAATTTTAAAACAAATTCCAAAATAGGAATGTAATTTTACCAACATCCGGCAATGTTCTTCTGTGGCTCGTGTCCATTTATAGTTTTTTTTAAAAATAGAAAAACTTTTGGTAACATTAAAAAAAAGTTGTAGACCTCTGCGTGTCGGCTAAATTAAACTCAACAAGACATCGAAGCTAAAAGAGAATACTATCAAACTACATTATTTTTTTCTGACTTGTACAAATAAAGGGAAACAACCCATTAATTTTGTTTAAATATTCTTGTGGAGAAGGGAAGTAAGCCACCTTTAGAATTTTTTTTTTCTTATGTAACTGAGAGTGCTAAGACTGACCTATACAGCATTGAATTACCAAAAACTACAACTAAATGACAAAAAAATGTGTAGACTAAAATAACAAATACAAAACTAAGCAGTTTTCTTGGCTAATTTTGGACCCACTTATTTGCCATTTAAAAATGTGTATAGACTAAATGTGAGAAGAATATGGTACACAAAGAACAATTTCTATCTTCTATTCTTGTTGTAATGCCCATATAAACATATTATAACCTGATGTTCTTTACACAAAGAAAACAAAGAATAGATAAATATCAACAGGTACTGGAAACAGTGCTTAAGTATGGTGAGAGGATCAAGTCAGAAAAGTGTACTGATGTAGATACAGGTAGCACTGTGATCAGATACAGGTAGCACTGTGATACAGGTAGCACTGTGATCAGATACAGGTAGCACTGTGATCAGATACAGGTAGCACTGTGATACAGGTAGCACTGTGATACAGGTAGCACTGTGGTCAGATACAGGTAGCACTGTGATCAGATACAGGTAGCACTGTGATCAGATACAGGTAGCACTGTGATACAGGTAGCACTGTGATACAGGTAGCACTGTGATACAGGTAGCACTGTGATCAGATACAGGTAGCACTGTGATCAGATACAGGTAGCACTGTGATACAGGTAGCACTGTGATACAGATAACTCTGTGATACAGGTAGCACTGTGATCAGATACAGGTAGCACTGTGATCAGATACAGGTAGCACTGTGATCAGATACAGTCAGATACAGGTAGCACTGTGATAAGATACAATCAGATACAGGTAGCACTGTGATCAGATACAGGTAGCACTGTGATCAGATACAGGTAGCACTGTGATCTGATACAGATAGCAATGTGATCAGATACAGTCAGATACAGGTAGCACTGTGATAAGATACAGTCAGATACAGGTAGCACTGTGATCAGATACAGGTAGCACTGTGATCTGATACAGGTAGCACTGTGATCAAACATGGGCAAATAGGATGCTGTCAAACATTTAGTCACATTTAAACAATCATGAATTTGTCAGACTAAAACAACTATGACATTGCCACAATAACCACACATTGCCACACGAAAACACCAAGCATACAATTCCGCACTAAAATAGCCATGAATCAGCAATGCTAACTCTTACAATACATGAAATAAATGTATGATAGATATGTAACTATGGGATCTTATAAATAAATAATGATGCGACAAAATATCCACAACTCATGAAAACTTCCTGCCAATATCACAGTTTCCATAGTTTGAGACATTTTAAAAATTCTTATATCTATATATAAACATATCAATAAGCCTAGCTATTAATGTTACACAATTATTTCTCATCAGCTGAGCTTAAAAACTTCTGTACAAAAATATTTAAAAATGTATTAAAATATTAGTTATTTTTATGGACTTAACTAAAATACTGTAGATAAAACAATATCATTAATGAATGATTCGTGAAGAGTGTATCAGTCATAGCCCATGTCCAGATGGACGAGGGAGGCAGAGATCTGTTTGGCCAGGTCAAGCGTGCAGGCACACAGGATACGACAATGCAGGTAATCCAACTCTGAACCTACGTACCAAAAGATGACAATGTTACGCAAAATGACATCAAGTGTATAAATACATCTCGTATAATTTTTTAGTCGGCAGGATTTATTTTGAACTTATAGCGAACGAAAAACTATTTGTTATATCATCATCATCTTAACTCTTTGAAGACCAAGACAAATGGGGCAGATGAAGAAGAGTTTTTCCATTTTGATGTGTGGTCAGCACTATGCTTTGTTGTATACTAAATTTAAAAAAAAGTTAAGATTCATAAACTTTTAATATACTTTAGATTATTTTTTTCTTCCGTGTTTATAATTTGTGTATACAACAAGAGCATCTTAATTAGGGTTACAAAAAATGTTCTCAGCAACACTGGCCCAATTTTTCAGTGGGTTACTAATATTTTCCTTACCCGTGGGGTCCAACACAACAGCTCCTGCTTCACTAGCTATGAGAGCACCAGCAAGGAAATCCCATATGTGTATTCCATACTCAACATAGGCATCACCCCTTCCAGCCGCCACGTGAGATAAATTCAATGCAGCTGAGCCATATGCTCGTACTCTGTCAACATAAACAAAAACATGTGTCTTTATGCAGCAGAGCCATATGCTCGTACTCTGTCAACATAAACAAAAACATGTGTCTTTATGTAGCAGAGCCATACGCTCGTACTTTGTCAACATAAACAAAAAATGTGTCTTTATGTAGCAAAGCCATATGCTTGTACTTTGTCAACATAAGCAAAAAATGTGTCTTCAGAATTTCCTTAAATAAAGATATCTCACTTTTTAACTGCAAATTAAAGATGTATCAAATTCAATTATTTTAATTAACTGTCTCCCATATTCAATTACTTTAATAAATTATTTCTAACACAGTCATAATGGAGTCATACAATGCTCTCAAGCCAGAATGGAATGTAGAATCAAACACTTTTCAAAAGCATGTTGTCTGCAGCTAGACTCCTTTTAATTACATTCCTTGCCATGCCATGCACCAGCTGGTTTAGATATGAGGAGCAATATGGTCAGAGGTTGACCTATGGTCTGATACCCAGTTACTGAACTTGTGACTTTCATGTTAGTATTATTGTGTTCAACAGCTCGAACAAGCTAACCTTATTTAATTTATCAATAAATGATAAAATACACTAATAAAAAAACTGTATGTGTGCGCCTGCAGATCTGGAGACCAGTCCTGTACATCCATGAAGTTGGACTTGTTTAAATCCTCCAACATAAATACAATTAACAACAAAGATGAAGACACTAATTGAAAAATTATTTTCCTAAAAACTACAACCTTTACTAATGCTATAAAACTTTGACTGACCCATGTGAGCGTGTGATCATTGATTGGATGTTCTTTACTTTATCATTCACAACTTGTGGGTCTCTGGAGCTGCCGCCTTCCATGATGACAACAGCTTTTCCTAGATCTGGTACACAAAGCATTTGATAAGGTTTACATTGGTACATACTTCTACAAAATTTAAGTAGTTGATGCTCTGAAACAGGCCATGCTTAGGTATGGCTTACAGCATAGGCAGGACTTAATTATGACAATGTATTAGCAAACATAGCTAACAAACCCTGGCACTAATCCAAACTTTGATTCAAACCCTATCACCCCCCCCCCCGAGCAAAAAAGAAATACTGGTTAAAAATAAAGGTCCTAATACAATATGAGAACCAAAAATATTGTCAATCAGACAAACAATGACCCCCCCCCCCCCCCCCATTTTTCATTTTGCAAGATTTTGCATGGTTGATCAACACAGAGATTTAATGGTGATTAAAAACCTTAGAAAACTGTTGCTTTTAAATGTTATACAAGTACATAATAATCAAACATTAGTTATAAATTAATCATTAAATTAGCATACCAGTAATTTTATTGGCGCTCAATTTCCTGCCATTCAGGAAAGCACCTTGACCTAATCTTGCAGTAAATAACTCTTCTTTCACAGGTACATAGACAATGCCAATAACAACCTGAAGTTTGTATAATAAATAATACAATTAAACTTGTCAATTACAATTTAAAAACTTTATTAATGTTAAGATGCCTAAGTAAGCAGTTATACAATCAAGTTTGACTTTTTACAATGAAGATAAAAAATGAGCATCTTTTTTTTTAATTATGAAGAATAGTAGAAAACAATTTTAGAAATGCCCAACATAATCAAGATAAAATGCAACAATTTTTCCTTGTTAAATTACATAAAACATATGTTCAGTTTTTACTCTATTGTACTGTGTTAGTTTAAGGTATTACAATTAATTAAATAAACTCACTTTTTTATTTACTGTGACTGCTAGTGAGAATGAAACTTCAGGGATGCTAGAACATACAAAAATAAAAACTACAACCAATAAATAAATCCTAACAGATATTACTCAAATTAAAAATTACAAAGTAAAGCACTTTTTCAGAGCCTAAAAAAGAACTTACCTATGTACAAAGTTAGTGGTGCCATCAACAGGATCAATAATCCATGTTGGATCGTCAGTAAATTCACATTTTCGACCAGTTGAAGCTGTTGTCTCCTCGCCAATAAACCTTTTAAACAAACACAGAGAAGTTATAAATGATACATCTATGCTTGCCAGCTGTTTAACTGATTTCAACTATCCTAATTCTGGCTCTAAACTCAAATTATGACCCTAAACAAGATCCTTAAACAAATGTAAATGCAATATTGATTCCATACTGATATCCAAAGAATAACTTTATAAATCAACTTACAAAGTGAAACAGTTCAACAGATTTACATTGAAAAGTCAGTTTCCAAAACTTTTAAAGTGTATTTCTGTATTTGAGTTATTAGGTGTTTAAATTGTGAATAAATTATTACTTTCACTCAAGTATAGGCTTACTTTATTTGTTTATAAAACTCATGGAACACATTATTCAATTTCTGCACATTATTGTTTAGTACAACCCCACTTTTTGGTAGCACTTTTAATTTGTTAAAATTTGTTGATCCAAGTCAGTTACCAAAATTTAGTTCAAATTAATATTATTTAACAAGTTTCATAGAATACAAATAGGGCTACATAATCTAATGAAATGCTTTCCCTGATAATAAGAAAAAAAAAATTGTTCTATTTTTTGCCATTTGCGTTTTGGAAAGTGACTTGTCCATTTTAAATAAGAATATTGTGCTTTTTTTTTTTCAACAAACGCCTCTGCTTTAAACCATGCTAGATCTAAATATAAAATATAAATGCCTACTTGTGATTTGGGAACTTTGCTTTGATCAAAGAATGCACTAAAGTTTCGACTGCCTGGTCTGTTTCTGTTACTAGGTCAGCAGCATTCATCTTAGTATCAACATGTTTCTCCTTGTCAAATGCATTTCTGATCATCTAGGTAAAAATATTCATAATTTACAAAATACTGTAGGCCTAATAAGTTGAAGTTTATTAAACTGTTTATTTTTATTTTAAAAAAAGAAGTATAGGTTTTTAACTGTCTTTTCAAGCTAAAGTCATTATTAGACTTTTGAGAGGAGGATGGGGGAGTGGATTTTTAAAGGAAATAAGAAAGCATAGATTTATCATTTTTTAGGTGAAACATGTTGAAAAACATTTATTTTCATTAAAATTGTGGTTTTAGAGAATAAGGTACAACTTTGAGACATCATTTTAGGAGAGAGAACTCTGCCTGTTTGGGTTGGGGCAAAAAAAGTGTGATTTTATGGATGAATGTAGTTTGCAAGCATTGCTATAAGGTCTTAATTTAGAAAGACCTCTTTATAATTATTGTAATAAGCTATAGCTAATTTGAAACCAAAATTATATCCTAGGGCTGAAAACAAATGTAAAAATAATTGTGTTTAAAGCATCCTACAGCCTACAGTGACAGAACAATATACACAGCATAGAATTATACAGTAAATAGCCTACTAAAGGGCTGTAAATAATAATAATATATAGGCCTATTATACTGGTTCAATAACATGTAAATTATCAAAAGCAATTTGAATAAATGCTCATCTAAAAGAAAAAAAATCTGGTTACCTGCCCTGCTTGTTTGGCTACCTCCAATGCTGTTTCATAAAATTCATCCAACTCCTTTTCTGACATTTTCTTGTATTTGGTGTGTCTAGGCCTGTACTCTGTACTTATAAATAGAAAATAGATATATTATTCATTAGACAGACATGTCATTCTAGTCTGTTTTGTTTTAAGCTTTAGTTTTTAACTATTAAACTAAAAAAATTGGGCCAAGATCTAGTCTAGAATCTAGGCCTAATGACTAATAATTTACTAGCTCTAACTAGTATAACTACTAAATTAGTATTAGGTCCACTAGATCTAGGCCTCTAGAATTTAGATCTAGATCTAGTTCTAATCTAGACCCTAGTTAGTAGATCTAGAATTCTAGATTTTAGAATATAAAAACCTAGTGAATTACCCTGCCATAATTTAGGTGTTTTTTTTCTTTATTTTAATTTTGTAATCAAAGTGTCTATTCTCAGTCGACTGGGAATAGCCATATTAAGGCTATTCAGTCGTGACTGGTTTTTTTTTATACATTTAATCTGGGTGGATGATGTGCAGGATGGTGTAGGTTCAAACCCATCAAATGCTTTCATACCTTTGGCCTTTATTGTAGGGTGTTGGGAAATTGCAAGACGCGAAAAGCGAAATGGCGAGGTGGGAAAATGCGAGAAGGGCGTGAAAACGGTCGGTCACGTACCTTTTTGTCTCGCAAATTACCACAACCCGATACTTACGCTAGGTGGTGTTAAAATCCAAAGATTTCTGCGAAAAATTTACCCCACCCGATTTACAGTGGTATTTGGTGCAGACTTCAAAGACGTTTCGTTTACATTGTTAAAACTTCTGATTTTTCCGTCGCTAGACATACTGATGATTTGTGAACTCCCCCCATTTTTTGCGTCAACTTAGAATACCACCTTGTTCGAAACCGCCGACGATAGATCTACTTCTTTCTTTTGTGTAGAACGCTGAGATTTACCATCTTTGAAAATCACCGTGCCCGAATCTGATGCCGCCGCAAACATATTTTGTATTGTTGCATAGAAATATTTTGTATTATAGCAAGTACAACTAGCCATGAATACATGTTGCAGAATATCTCTACTGTTGACTAGATTATACCAATTCACAATGACACAGCTCACGTTTGTATAAACATGAGCGGGCTAGATTTTTAAAATCAATGTAGACTGAGACGGGATTTTCTTTTTGCTAACGATAGCGGCCGATGACAGTAGCACAGCTACGATGTTAGGATTTGTTAATAGATAGATCTAGATATAAATCTATCTATCTTCTTAGTATCTATATATGTAACGAAATCTAGATAAAAAAATAACAACATACAACACTCGTGTTAAAACAAACAAAAAAATGGTTTAAACTTTTTTTGCAAAAGGTGTCTCGCTATTTACCTTTGATTCTGCAGGTATGTCTCGCATTATCTTCTAGCATTTTCCCGCCTCACCATTTTGCTTTTCGCGTCTCGCAATTTCCCAACACCCTTTATTGTAGGCCCCCCATTATCCAAATAATTTTATTTTTTGCAGCTATTCATGAGAGGGTCACTTTTGTTGATTTTGTTTTTGTTTGTGACGTGACTGGCATATTAAATTTGCATAGAGAAAAACAACTTGGGAAAATTGGGATGGAAACTGAATAATTAATAATATAATATAAATATTATTATTATATATAGGCCTATATTATTATTATTAGTAATAACTCAGTTATTAACTGGTTAAAAACGACTTGCTATTTTTATTTTACCTTGGCCTAAAACTTATTATAGACTATAGATCTATTATTCTATACTATAGAGTATAGACTATAGGCCTACAAATTTTAAAATTAAATTAAAATTAATGTGAGTTGAATAGCACCGTAACCAGCGTAACGTGAACTACTAGACTAGAAAAGATGACTAGAATTCTCTAGATCTAGATCTATTACTTACTAACTATAGTAACTAAACTGAATAGTCCTACCTGTAACTAAAGATGGCCCATTGGTAAAATCACGATATAGCGTCGGAAATTATTGGGTAATGTTCGTTGAGTTTCGGTAACATTCGTTACTGTAAACCATAGTTTATTTGACCGGTGAAATAAAAATAAAGTCAAGTGCATTAAATTAATGTTTTAACTTAATTTACAGTTTAATTGACAGAAAATTAATAACAGATAGAAAATCTAAATATTATTAATAAACTCGAGTGTAGTAATTAATTATTTTTTTTTAAGAAACAGAAAAAAACCTGCAGAAGATTTGCGACAACCAGCTCTTGTTCTGTTAGTAAATAAGACGATTAGATTAACTAAAGTTAAAAGTAGTAAGAATAACTAGAATAATGTTTAGTAGCAGCAATAATTAGCACATACACTTAAAATAATTAGAAATACAAAATAATTAGCAAAACAGTATTTAAAATGCAACTAAAATCAATCCTTGCACATTTTTAAACATTATGTATTAAAAATAATATGGCGGCAAATAAATTATGGTTTACAGTATTTCCGGTGGTTTCCGGAACGGCTCGACAGACTACGCCATGGTTTTACTGTTTTTTACTGCTGTACAGTTCCGGAATAATAACCGACGCTATATCGTGATTTTACCGGCCCATTAACTATTTGGGTAATCCCTTAGTTTAGCGTCGGTTATTATTCCAGAATCGTTTAGCAGTAAAAAACAGTAAAACAATGCCAAAGTCTGTCACACACTTCCGGAATTCACCGGAAGTACTGTAAACCATACTTTATTTGGTGTCATCTTTTATTTTTAAACAGAATGTTTAAAATTTAGATAGATTTATTTTTGTAATCATTTTTACATTTTGTAATCATTTTTACTATTTTCGTAATCTAGATTTTTTTACTTGGCCTAGCAGCTAGATATCTAGCTACTAGTAGCTAGATCTAGATCTAATTAATTAATGGTAGCAAATCCGCTGCAAGCAAAAAACATTAAATTATTAGTATTAGCCTACATTTACTACATTTGACTTCATTATTTATATTTATATTAATATGTTTTATTTTTATTTTTAGATCTACTAATTTAAATCTACTATTATATTTATTCTTGTTTCCTTTTGTCGATTAAACTTAAAAAATTAAAACATTAATTTTAATTTACTACAATCGACTTTCAATTTATTTATATTTCAATGGTCAAATAAACCATGGTTTACCGTAACTCTAGTTACCGAGACTCAACAAACATTACCCGATAATTTCCGACGCTAAACTAAGGGATTACCACTATTTGAATAAGAAATATAGATATTAATAAGGGCTTACTTGTAACTTGTTTTACTAGATCTAGATTTCTAGAAATTTACAAAAAGTCTTGTGCTGAAATATATATATATTTATGTAACTTGAGTTCCAGCAGTGCAATTAAAAAAAAACTGAGAGTAGCTTCCCTTGATCAGTATCAGAGTATTCGATTATTTATAAAATCGCACATTTAATAGGGGTTGCGATTCCTAAAGCTTTCTTAATTTATACATTTGCCTAAAACAATAAAATCTACATTCATCTAGGCTAAGGGCCTATAATATAATATATTTCCTTGGTTACCTACAATTTTGTGTTGTAAGCCTATTTCAAGAAATATTTGGCCTGCTCCATTATTTAATTTTTAATGCAGAGTAAGAAAAACAAGGATTGGCTAGTTATGTCACTTGTCAGACCAAAAGTACAAAAAGCAACACATTTTTATTTATTTTATTAAAACAAAGATGCAAAACTAAATATAAATTCACATGGTGTATATTAATTTGTTTTACATGGTAAATAAAAACCCTCTGATAAAAAAAAAATTATAAACTCAGTTCTTAAAAAAAAACTAATCATTATTGATGACGGAATTAAGTTAAAAAACCTAACATTTAAATAGTTACTCAAATTTAAATTTAACAATAATAATGTACTAATTCTATTAAATGGTCTACGTTTTATTCGCATTATAGCTTTGGATAACATAAAACATCAAATTTGAAAAGAAGCATTTTTCATATTTTTTAAATAAATAATTTTGTGTGAATCTCAAAGTTTAACATCTTGTATATATATAGAATGTTCACGACTTTTAGATAGTAATTACAGCAGAATAAATGTACACAAGATTTTATTTACAATTTGAACCAATTTATCTAAGAACTGAAACATATTTATTCAGTCCATAAACATAATGAATAATAAAGAAACAACTTAGGCAAAAGATCGAATATAATGAATTGGCAAGTTCATTTTTACCAAAAGTAAGAAAAGAAACATTTAATTTTCAGCATTGGAAATAAAAGACATCCCACTTTGATTTTTCATCTTATTCAAAATAAAACGGACCTAAGCCCTTTAGAAATATGGGACCAACTAAACTTCAATATTTATTATTTAGTTATTAAATATCTACCTTCATTTTTTTTAAATCTCAATAATTCCATTTAAACGATGTCTATGTAGGTTAACTATACTCCAACAAACATATTTGGGCTATACTATTATACTTGTATAGCTGATAAATTTACAAACTAAATAAAAAGCCTCACCAAATTAAATAAATACAAAACACAACCCAATCGAACAGCCAGTCCAGTATTCTCTATACTAGCAAGTCACCCCCTAAAATGTCCTTTGTTAAACCTCAATGTCAGAGACCAGTTTAATAGATGAATGAAAGTGATCTTGAACACCTGCTGCCTGTGACATACACATTACCAGTTGCCACCCCAGAAAAGAAAACCTCAAGGTCACGGACCAATTAAGAGTACATCTAAGTTATGGTATGACACCATCCTGGCAGAAAATTATCACGTTTCAGCCACACATGGCCCTCCCCTGTGAGTCGCTTTGCACCTCAAGCTTTTTAGTGATCCTTATTAATTTTTTGACAATATTTTAACTTTCTGTGAAGCATAATATAGGTAGAGTTAGCAGTAAAATAATCATTCCTTAATGATTGTTGTTCTGATTTCTAAACTTAATCACATTTGAAAAAGGGTTAAAAATATTGTCTCATCATTGAAAAACTTATTTAGGCATAGGTGCTAAGCGACTCAAAAACACAAATGATTGCACATTTATTAGCAATATGTAAGGAACATATTACAAAGATAATTTTCAAAAACCTTTTGAAACCTTTTTACAAATCTATTTTTTACCCATGCATGGCAACAGTCGTTGATAATCTACACACCTACATCCAGTTTGGTATCATTTATAAAATGTTCCATAGCTTTTTTCCTATGTATGCCCTTATAAATTAGTATCACTAATAACACAAGTAAACATCACTTAAAAAAAATCAAGTTGATGAATTGACAGTCAAGGAAATAGACATTCCTACAGATTTAACTAACGCCTTCTCTTTCCAGAAGCTTTTCCATATACCAGTAACCACACTTGCATCTTCCGCTTTCAAACCCTTGCATGAAAAAACAAACTTTTTGAGTGGCGTAGAGCAGGACATCTTTGTCTTGAGAGCTTCTGTCAGCTCAGATCCTATGGGGGAACAGATGGAACAGCCACGCAAGGTCAGCTCTTCTAGGCAAGCTCCATCACCGGCACTTAAGTACAACAGCTTTTGAACACTTGTGTTGTTGACATTTGTGTTCTGGGACAAACTGAGTGAGCACAGTGACTTACACATTGCTGGCAGTCTGGAAATTTTAAAAAATAGATTTTTAATACTGCACAAAACAAAGTCTCAATTTAACCATAAACAGATAAATAAACAATACCTGTTCAAAAATGTAACTTCGGAGGGTGACAGCTGACAGCCAGCTAATGAGAGCTCTTTTAGGCAAGAAAATTCATTAGTGACAAAGTCCTCTAGCAGCTTGGACAAATCTCCTTCACATGAAGAGCGTGTGTGAGAGAGATCCAGGGACTGCAAGCAGTCAGGGTGTAGAGAGTTGAACAAAGCTGTGATACCTTCCATTTTTATCTCATTTTCGGAAAGGTTAATGTTCCCCATTCTGCAACCTGGAAGTAATAAGATTTTTAGTTGAGAGACTAAAAAACGTTCTTAAATTATTCTTTTTACCATTTTGTAAATCATAGTTTTAATAAATAACCAGTTAAAGTTTGTTGACAAATTTAAAAAAATAATTTACCATGTAATGCTTCACAAAATGAGGAGGTAAATAATCTTGCAGACAAGTTACAAGAAGACAGATTGAGTGCCCTTAGCTCTGGCAAACATCTGATGATGGCAGAGAGTGGCTCCGACACATCCCCTAGACAGTTGTGGCTCAGGTTTAGTGTTACCAGCGACTGCAAACACTGCTCCGCCTTCAGCTTGCAGGCCATAGTCTGAACACCAGCAACAGACAGGCCACACCCACCCAGCATCAGGGTCTGTAGAACAGGCAGACCAGACACAAGCTTCATCAGTGTCTCTACACCAGCATCACCCAGTCTGTTGCCATTCAAACACAGCTCTGTCAGTGTTTTCTGGCCATCCAAAGCTTGGAAAACTGGCTGAAGAAATGAAAAGGAGAGTCCTAAGTCATTCAATGAAAGATGGCCGGACGAGTCTGATTGCTTGAGGGCTGCCAGCACAGTTTTGTTTGGCTCACAGAGACAGAGTTTACACGCCTGGTCGTATCTGTCCTCAAGTCTGGGTCTTTCCCACGCTGTGATGTTGGCTGTGAGGACGTCGTTGTCCAGGATGATCGCATTGATCTTGTCGCTGGAACAGAGAAGGATTCCCTCTTGTGTGCTGAGGGTCACAGAGGGCAGCATGAGGAACATGCTGAAGTATCTCTGCCTGGCCTGCTGACACAGCCAGATGATGTTGTTCTCCTGCTCCACTGGCTGGATGGGGATCAACAGGATGTGGTCCCCCAGCTTTACCTTCACTCTGATGATGTCCTTGTAGGATGTTTTTTCATAATGGTTTATGGGGGGCTGCTGAGGGGTGCTTGTTTCCGTTGTTTTCACAGAATAAGGTTTTGTTGACGAGTCTTCTGGTGCTTGAACATTGACCGGGTCCCCCTGAAACAGCTGAGGTTTGTATCTAGGTGCTGTTTTACTGACTTGGTTGTTGGTGTTCAAAGAAGACAATTTCCCACGCAATACTGGAGATTTTTGTTGACTTCTGTTGACTTCTTGACTTGTGTTTTGATCAGAAAAGTCATCATTTATTAGATCAATCTGGCATAAAATATCGTCATCAGAATCCCACATGTAGGTTCCTACAGACGTCTGAGTTTTTAAACTGCCAACAGTAGACGAAACAGGACAAGTGTCGTTTGAGTTCTCGTTGAAGTCAGCAACATCTGAATCTACACTAACAGCATTACTTTTCCTGCTCTTGTCATCTTGTTTAAAACGCTTGACTGACAAGTCTGAAAATGTGCTGCAGCCTTCTCTTCCGTCTGTCATCCTCCCCCTTTTCTTAGACCCTGTTGTACTGCTGATCCTAGATGAGCTGGTGGTTAAAATACTGTTAACCACTGCGCTCTTCTTACACTTCCTTGCGCTCTTCACATCATCAATCAACCAGTCATCTCCAACATCATCTTCAACACTCAACAAAGCTGGTCTTTTATCAGGAGGGACATCATCTTCCCCCTGCGGTTGCCCCACATCTTGTCGTCTCTGTGCTGAGCTGCCTATAGAATCCATTGTTGACCGGTACAGCTTTGTGGCGTTTTCTGGGCTTTTGCTGAGAGTGACAGGGGAAGAAATGCTAGGGTGGAAGTTTGTGTCTTCTGATTTTTCTCCATCTGAAGAATCAGCCATCTCCTCATCCTCTTGAGACAGCGTCCGAGAGTGTTTGGACAATTTTGACTCCCTCCTGTAAAAACCAGGTAGAAAAAATACTCAAGATGATATATTGACAAACTATTACTTACATAGAGTCTACCCAATTCAACTGCATTAGAAAGTATGCTGTGAAAAGCCCATCACCAAAAAAATGCCTTTTTGTATGTCTAAAGCGATAACGACTTACAGATTTTGGCAAAATTTAAATCTTTAATTTTAATCACAATTACATAAAAAAGTTTATTTCTACAAAGAGCAAAAGATTTGCTTTTTAAAGTATACATTAATTATCCACATCAAACAGGCTAAAAATAGCAGAAAAATTGCTAAAATTCAGATATTATATAACAGCCATCTTACTTCTGTCGCATTTGTTCCAATCTTTTCCTCAACACTCTGCCAGAGACTTTATCTTTTCTTTTACTCTCTGGCACAACGTCTTCCTCATCTGTTAGGTCTGGCAGCCTCAAGTTCTGAGTTTTACTAGGTTTTGCAGTTCTCGGAGTTGAATATGAGGCACCTAATTTAGTATACAAATGGGAGGAATAACAGGAAAATAAAAAACAATTATTTCTTTTTTAACATATGGGTTAATAGTAACAAAATTGTGATCTCAACATTAATTAATATTAAACAGTATTTGTTATCTCTTTTAGCTAAAATGTACTAATAAAATGTACTAAAACAGAATGAATTAAATCAAAATAAATTAATAGAAAAAGACATTTGTGTTTGTGTCATTAAATTTTTTTTAAGTAAACACAAAAATATGTGACATTTATCCCACTTTTAATGCAACATCTATAGAAGCATCTACTTCATAGCTGACTTACCCATCTTGCTGATCAGTAGCTTCTCTGTGGTTTTATACTCAAGCATATCAGCAGCACTTAGTGTGCCTTCCTCATGCTCAGCATATCCCTCCAACAACCTGTCTAACGCAGTGTAACCCTGCCGAACAAAGAAAAAATGTACTTATTGTAGCTGCTAACTTGAAACAAAAGTATGATCAATTGAAATATATTTCAGAAACCTGATTAACACAACGTAATCCTCAAATTTTAAAAAGTAGTCACTTATTCCTAAGAAAGCAAAGTTATTTACATGAAATAGTTTGCCTTTTATAAATAAACAATATATAAATTTATCTAATGCTCATAAATGACAAAATTTTTAAATCACTTAATCCCTTAAAGTTAAATTAGTATTAAATGAGCTTATTACTTTAAAAATGTTTTAACATAAAAAAGTTAATGAAAAGTGGGTAAAAAAGCTTTAACCAAAAAAATGTATTTCTCACATCATCATCTTTAGCATCAACCTTGGCCCCTCTGTCAATCAGCAGTCTAACCACATCCAGGTTGCCACAATAGGCAGCATCTATCAGGGGAGTAAACCCTCTGCATTCATCACCTCCCCTGTCGTTGATGGATGCCCCTGAGTCCAGCAGGAATTTAACAATTTCAATGTGACCATTGTTGCAAGCTTCATGCAGTGGTAGCCAGCCACAGAAATCCCTTGGGTTCACTGGATGACCCTTTAAACAAAGTTCATAATAAGACAGTAAAAATTAATTAGCACTAGATTGCAAAATAAAGAAAGTAAAGTTTCCTTTCAAATATATTCGCCCCTAAAGCTGATGAAGTTGGGTTCATGTTACTTTGAACTCAGCATTTGAATGGATTGCGCAATATGCTCAGTCTTATTTAATTTCCCTAACTCGATTCATGTACTCATAAACTCAACTGCAGAAACCAAATTCAAGACTTTTAAGTCAGTAATTGTGTGCCCTACCTCCAGACCATGCTATAATAGGCAAATACTTCTTCATAACACTGAAAGTAATCAATGATAACAATAATACTGCTGAACATTGGAAGCAATGGGGTTACCTCTGCGATGAGAGATTTCACAGTCTTTAAGTTTCCTGTAATGCAGGCTCTATGAAGTGGTGTCTCGCCCTTTTCGTTTCTCTAGAATAGAAACAATTTAAACTGAGTTAAATAAGACTTGTTTAAAAACTTAACAAATGGATCCATTTTATAAACTCAAGTACATAAAAAAAATTTCAGTTATAATCTTTTGATATAAATCTGTATCTTACATTATTCAATTACCATGTTTTTTAACTGCAAGTTTTTAAAGAAGTTTTTATTTTAAAAAGTTACAATAAAAAACACAACAGGTTTAGGTAAAATGTTGTGTAAAAAAACATACTCTGGCAAGCTTAGATTTTTTACGACGTGGAGATGTATCACCCTTTTGGTCATCTGATTCATCTAGAACAAATGTAATAGGAGAATTTGCATAATTATTTTGTCTTTTCCAATGATTCACTCCAGTATTCCGCACATGTTTAAAAACTCTTTGAAAACACAAAACATAATGAAAACATTTTTAAAAGTAATTAATGACGATAATCATTTAGGGCAAACTAGATGTTTTCACACCTTCTAAATTCTCTTTAATTCTGAATTTGCTTTTATTTAAAAATCTTGAATAAATCTCAATGCAATTTACTGAAATAAGATTATTTTCAGTCTCTTTTAAGCATACTAGTTAAGGCAGATTAAAAAATAGTCTAACCAGACATGGTCAGTTCTGCAATACTTAAGTCCTCATCATCATCATCATCCTCTTGGTCATCTTTTTTATCGTCTTCTTCATCACTCAGGCTGTCTGTGTCCTCTGTAATGTTGTATTTCTCTTTTATAGCAGCCAGTTTTTTCTCTGTTTCTTGTAGGTGGGTGTTTTGTTTACAAAGATTTTGTAGCATAACCAGAGACTTGAGAGTATGTACCTAACATGGGAGAGAACAAGGAAAATATAGCTTGAAATTCTCTATTTAGCAACAAATAAGTTATTCCCTGTAGATGATTTTTTTTGTGTAATATTTTTCAATATCTATACTGCAAAATAACTCATATCTTTGATTTAAAATACACACATTACTAATATAACTGGATTGCAATTGAATGCCCTACACACTAATATTTATTTTAAGTAATTACTTATTTATTGAAGATAGATGATTACTTAGCTTTCAAAAAGAAAAAAATAAAGATTTGACTTTTTTGGGGAAAAAATATGCTGTCAGGTAAATTAATGATAAGAATTATTTTCCACTGATCCTTATTCATAGAAAATGAAAGAATGTCCATTTTTCTATAAAAATCATGGACTAGATTAGTATTAGCATAAAAACTTTAATTTTGGTTAATTCTATAGCCAGAAGACGCAAAATACCCTCTATAGATTAGTGGACTTTATGACATAAGACATGAGAACCCAACAACCTATCACCTATTAAATAAACCAGACATTCACATTTACTTCTCTATTCACCTGAAAATTTGTTAAATACCTGTAGTTTGGGGTGTTTGGCTTTCCTAGCGGCTTCAAATGCTGACAAGTAGACCTGACATATTTCTGCATACTTGGCACCTTTCAGTTCCTCCAGTTCTGCAATATTTAACAGAGTTCGACAACACTGAAAAAAAATTGTTTCATAATTAGCATTAATTGATTAATAATAACATTAGTCAAGCTAAAATGGTTCTTCAAATATTTACCATAAAGTTCTCAAGGATTTGCATTCTGAAAACACTAATATTAGCAATTAAGATATTCACATCCCCTTTTGTAAGTGACAGAATTGCCCAATAAGATAAATGTATTAAAATTGTTACTCAGATTCAGAACCAGGGCGGACTACCCTTTTCTGTCTTTACAAGGTGATAAATACTACATATCTATAATTGTGTTGTATAATCTAATATCTGCTTCGAATCTAACAAACTGGGTTGATATTTTACTATGTGAGAGTTAATTAAAATACCTGCTACAGAAGATAAATAATGAGAAACAGATGGGGTACCTGTTCATGGTCATCCTTGTGCACTGCTAACTCTTTTCTGTAGAACTCAATAGCCTTCTCATAATTTCTAACATCTGAGTAGGTCTGAGCCAGTGACATGTAGATGGCAGCTATTTCATCACTGGACAACAGGTGACCATACTCTGTCTGGACAATCAACATAAAAATTATGACAGCTTACAAACTAGTTCTGTTTTGACAATTTAATACATGAATTCATGCAAGAAGCTTTTGTTAATAAGGTTCTTGACCTATTGTTAGGGCAGTTAAGACAGCATTCATCATGGGTTTTTCAACAAGAGTTGCTGTTGTTAAGTTTGTGGTTTTGATAAGGGTCATGGTAACTAGCAGTTTTTGCTGAATGTAAGTTTTGATATGCCCTACCAACATCCTGACGATCTATGGGGCAAGTGAAGGGTTCAACTGGCAGTGTGACCTTGGCATATGAAGGGATGGTGTGGTCAGCTGCCTATACTTTCTCTCCTTAGAGCTAAGTAGAACCCGGATTCCACCTCAAGAATTTATGTTACCAGTCTAGTGTTATACCGCTGGGGCCACGCCATCCCAACCACCATCCTTACACGTATCGTAATTTGTGAATACATTCCAGATTTTACAAATGTAACTGCATTTGAATAGATAATGTTTCTAATTCATTTTTAACTTACCACAACTATATCATATTTTTTAATGGCTTCTTTATAGATTCCTAGCTCCACTAGACTGTCAGCAATTTTCTCATTTAGTTTGGCTTTTTTCTTCTCATCTGTTTCTGTCTCTAGGTCTTGCTCTGCTTCCTGTATTTTGGTCACTAGAAAAGTACTTTATTATAGTATTTCATACAGTATTTTTTTAATTTAAGTTATTTTTTTAATTTTTCATCACAACTACAGTTACATAATGATATTTGTTGAATAGTTATCTATCCTAAAAGATGTTTGCTCTGTACTTGTGTAACCAAGGCATTTTTCCTATTGACACAATTTTTAGATAGGAGTAAAGCCATATACACTTTCTTATTCATAATTTTAATTTTTAAAAATCTCCATAACCATCCAACATACAAATACCAATTTAGCTGTATTTACCATTTTTAAATGTTTTAATCAGTGATTCCTGAGTTATATCTGAGTCAACTTTAAGACTGTAGGCCTTCTTTAAACAGTGTTTGGCGGCCAAAATATCTCCAACACATACATGAACCTGAAATACAAAATATCTCCATTTTTAACAATTGGCCCAGTCAAGCATTTCATTTTTCTGTACCCCTTATTGCAGTCTGCCCTGCTTACAAAACAATATCTAGCTTGCTAGATCATGTAACAGCTCTGCACTTTTTAATTAAGAACTCATTATATATTTATCACCAACCTTAGCCTTTTGCGCAAGCATCTCTTTCTCTCTAACTTTGTCTCTAAGTTTATCAGCAAATTTGAGGGCCAGTTGTATTGACCTAAGGGCATTGCTGTACTGCTCATCATTCTCATACATGGTGGCCAGCCCTGAGTTACACATGTAGAGATCATCATCCAACTTACATTTCCTGAACAAAAGTAAACATTTGGCTTTTATTTGATATTTCAATACGCATTTTATTTAAAGAAAATTTAATAATATGTTAGTCAGGTGATACTATTGTTACAAAATTAGCCAGTTTTTTAATCTATTTAATAACGTGATAGATAAGACATACTCAGCTATACTTATGGCCCTTTTCATCATAGGCACAGCATTGTTTGCATCTCCCCTAGCATCAAACACATGTCCTACAGAGAATAAAAACATCATCTTTGTTTAATCAGACTTTTTAAAAATATTTGGAATAAAACAGAACATGGATGGTTTATAAGGTTAAAATCAAGCATTTATAATAATAATATAATAATAATATAATTTATAATACTTTTAATATATTCTAGTAATAAAACTGGATGTGTTTCACAAGCATTTATAATAATTTGATTTGATTTAATACAAAATACCTACCCAGATTCAGATACAGTCTACCCTTCATGGACATGTACTCTATCTGGCTGACTGATGCCTTGATCTTCTCACACACCTCCAGAGCTCTGGTAAAAGCTTTGTAAGCCCTATCACAAGCCAGAGAGGATTCCTTAAGATTCCTGGACTCCGCCTGGCACAAATACGTCCTGCCAATTGTTGCCCACGCCCTTTGTTCTTCCAAATAATTATTACACTCTCTAGTTTAAAAAAAAACACAGTAATAAACCAAGTCAGTATATACAAGATGCAAAAAAAATAAAAAAATAAACGTTTCAGTCAACAAAATTTAGATAAACTAAATGACTAATAAATAATTGTGAATTTTGTAAACTAAACACAAAATTCAAATATTACCTGGCCAATTCTAAATGTTTCTTCTGTAGTTTTAGGGCCTTGCTGTATTCTCCTAAAGAACAATAACATTCTCCTAGTTTTCTGCAGGATATAGCTTTGCCAATCGTGTCACCCAAGAGTTTACTAAGTCTGCGTTCTTGTTTGTGCTCTAGGATAGCTTCCTCAAAACGACCTGGATTATTAAATTAACTCTTTGATTATAGCAGAGCATTTATTTAAAAAACTAAAAAAGCTACACAATCTTAATGTTTGCACTAAAAGTGACTGACATTTTAAAATGTGTACAATCTGATTGGCATAAAGTCTGTTGGGTTTGTGTGATGTTATTTCTTGGCAAGCCTTTAACAAACAAAGAGTTACATTATTTATACAAACCATATTTTGAGTAGATTTCACCAATACAGTTACATAGTTGTCCTGCATCATTAAATTTATCTTTGGCTAATGCCCGAGCCTTGTCTCTAATGTAGCCTGTAAAATAGAATATTCAAACATTTAACTTTTAATTCAAGAAGGGGAGGGGGGTGGTATTGAAACAAGAAAGCTCTTTTAGTTTAATATTTAAAAATAAAGGCCTATCATCATTTACAAATTATACGCTTACCTGCTAAAGCATGATACATGAAATTTGTAATCTCATTACATAATCATTAAGCTAATCAATTAATTAGCTTAAATAATAAATATCACATGATAGTGAAGGATTGTTATGCTAGGAATACAAAGGGTCAACTCAAAATATCAACCTAGTGTCCTAGTCTATTTCTATTTACAGACTAGATCTAGATCTCTGATCTACTTTAGTTAGAGTTAGACTAAGATTACATCTTTATTAATATTATAGAATAATAAAAAGATCTAGATCTAAATTCTAGATCTAGTAACTTGATTGAAGAAAGTCATAAAAATGATGAAGAATTCTGAATAGCCTAAATGTAATATTAAATATTAAGATGATAAGATGAAGTTAGGCCTAATGAACTCACGATCAAGGTCCTTTTTATCTTCTGGGTCCATAGTTCACTAGCTGATTCGTCACTTGTGTGTTTCTGCTTCAAAACATAATCATTCACTTAAAATTAATTATTACATCAAAGGCCTAGCTAGATTCTTCTAGATCTGTAGTCACTCTAGCTAGACTCTAGCTTGATTGATTGCTACACTACTAGTACTAACTACTGGTCTAGATCTAATCTAGACTCTAGATTAGTACATCTAGTAGACTAGATCTAGGACTCTAGATCTAGATCTAGTTAGTAGCTAAAGGAGTACTGTGTAAAAAGTAAAAAGGCAGGTAAAGCTAATAAAAAACGTCTGATGTATCGACTCGTCGAGTCTATTTTATTTGGACAATATCGTTTAGTAACTTGGCTGTTTACCCTTGTTCTTTATTACACTATTTATTTATTGTTATTGTCTAGATTTAGATATCTAGATCTAGACTAGATTTTATATAGAATCATCTATAATATTATTAGTAATAATAGATCTAGATTCAGATCTAGACTAGAGATCTAATATTTATTTTGCTATCTTTTGTAGTCCAATCTGGAGTAAACATTCAGTCATAGAGCGCGCGGAGTCGTTGTAAAACATGAATTGAAAAGTAATCGAACATCACCGAAAACTTATGCAATTTTTTTCTAGATCTAGATATCTAGCTATTTGTTAATTGTGTGGATTTTTATAACATAATTTTTAGAATAGCCTGGTTTATTTTTTTAAATTTTAAACTCTGTAGATCTATAGAATCTACTCTATACTATTAAAAGTGAAACAATTTTCATGAAATGGTCTCTTCGATAAGTCGATACCCAAATAAATAAGAGTTACTTCCCTTGTAGGAAAAAAAGCACACGTCTGTGTTGAACTCAATAGTCATTAGATCTATATTATTATTATTGACTCACTATTATTGTAATTTGTATCCGTATTGTCAACGGTATTGTATATAGATCTAGAACCTAGGCTAGAATCTAGATCTAATCTAGATTTAAGTTTACTATTCACAAATGAATGCTGATCTAGATTTGGGTTTGAAGTGTGATGGTTTTATTAATTCTAGACCTGGAAATTTTTAAATTTAACACTAACGAGTAACGATGGTTGACAATCATATTTGAAGTATTAAACAACAGTCTAACAAGTTACACACAGTACTGACAGTAGTCATGAGTAGTCTAACTAATCTGTAATCACTGTAATCAGTTCAGTTAATCACATATCTTCAGTAAATTATTTAATATTTAGGCCTAGATCTAGTCTAGTAGATCTAGATCTAAATAAAATACTAAGACTAAGAAAGAAGTCAGCTAAACTTTGTTTGCTGTGTGGCCAGTGTTGGGTGGGCCTATTATTATTATTATTTGATTCAATAGTCAATAGGCCTTAATTTTAATAAATTAAATAATGTCACTTCATCTGCCCCATAGAATCTACATTATCTAGAGTCTAGAGAGATTATTTCAAAATAGATCAGTCAGACTCAGCTTGCACTTGGTCTCTTAAACTTAAAAGTTTTACTGACAAGTCTTTTGTCACTTTTTACTCAGTTTAATTAAGTTAAATTCCAAGTTTCATATTATTAGGTAGGCCTACTGAATTTAAGGCTAATTACATTAGGCCTATTATAAGCCTAACTAATTAGGCTAATTACTTAACGTCACATAACGAGATAATAAATAGAAATAAAAATTTTTAGGCCTAAACTTACAAGCCTAATATTGTTAATATTACTGAGGCAGACCCTCTTGTAAGTTGTATTCACTGACATTTGAATGAAATTAAATTTCCTCCTAATTTTACCAATTGCAGTTACACTGCAAGATGTATCACTTACAAGTTTTAAAACATACCAAAAATGTAAGGCCAAAACTGATTTTGGGACTGAAATAATTAAGACTATGGGTATTTGCAGTCACTTGTCTCATTCACTTGGAATAGATACTTCATAGCAATAATTATGATGGTTTTGTTTTATCTTTATGTCCCCACTTGATTATTTAAAAAAAAAAACATTTTTACATTACACACACAGCCTGACAACATAATTAATTTTTAATTTAATGATATTTTATACATTGTCCAAAGACTCCACAGTAGTTTGAACATGTAGTAATTATTCAAATTTATCTTCACCCATGTAATATCAAAAACATTGCTTGTTTAAATTATTTTATAATTTTTTTATTGTTTAAAAATATATTTCTGTTGTGTATATTCCCAGATTTTGATGAAAGATTCCTGACTGCATGTTAAAGAAATGGGTATTCGAGGCCTGACAGGGTTCATAGACAAAAACCAGCACCTGCTGCACCAGCATCAGCTCCATGACTGTCCCGTGGTTCTAGACGGGAACAACATCTACCATTACCTGTACCATGCCTGTCACGTGCAGTCCTACTTTGGTGGGGATTATGATATCTACAGGAAGAAGGTCGCTGAAACGTTTCAGTCCTTTCTCTTGTGTGGTATAACACCTTACGTTATCATGGATGGTGCATACACCAGGGACAACAGGAAGTTAAAAACATGCTTGACCCGAGCCACTTGTCGGATTAAACAGGTAAATGCTATGGCCTACAACCAGAAAGGACAGATTCTACCCGTGTTGGCTTATGAAACGTTCATACAAGTTCTAGAGGAATTGGGGATACCCCATGCTACTTGCCAGTTTGAGGCTGATCTTGAAATAGCTGTACTGGCCAACAAGCTCTGCTGCCCTGTAATAAGTAACGACAGTGATTTTTATATCTTTGATCTTAATGGGGGTTTTCTCCCTTTAGATTATATTGATTTCAGAGCATTACACAAAATAGCCTCCCCTGGTGATTCTTCAGATTACAGATTCCTACATTGTTATAAATATAACGTCGATGACTTTATTAATTCATTTGATGGGCTGAGTCGCTCATTATTGCCCGTGTTTGCAAGTATGCTTGGGAATGATTTTATAAGTTCAAAGGCTTTTTGTCAATTTTATTCACGCGTCAAAGTTCCAAAATTGGTGTCAAAAAAATTTGCAATGCCCCAGAGGCTAACTAGAGTCATAAGTGTACTTCATTGGCTACACACCCACGAGGATGATACTGACGTCTCTGTCATTAAAAAAAAGCTTTTGGACTTCATCAAACCCAGGCAGAAGGACAGAATTGAACAGAAACTTACGCTGTCTGTCAGCGGATACGAGGACATAAGTAAATTTAGTGGCTTTGATCTCTACCAGTTTTTCACAACTGGTGTGAAAGACTGGTGCTGGACTAGTAATGAAGATTTTTGTCGGTATAATGGAGCAGCATTTCCTGATTGGTTTCTGGAGTCGACTTGTCGTGGGGACATCACTCCATTTCTTCTTAACGCTGCCATCCTCCACAGAATTATTATCCTTACACAAGTAGAAAACTTGAGTTGTCCCCCTTCTTTCATTTGCTCAGCAGATATCAGGCAAATTATCTATGGAATTTTGTTCAAAGATGACCCACCTGGTAGTACAGAAAATAAAATATCCACCAAAAGTTTAGAAAATGCAAACAGTATCATCACTGATTTAACTGAATCTGTGAAAAGTATTGCAGATAAACCCCTCACACATGAAGACTCTGATAGCCTGTTTTTAGGTGTTGCCGATGAATGTGAAAATGAAACTGATGAAGAGATAGTTATTGAAGAAGAAGAATCTGCTAAGGAATGTGCGGAGAAGAGGAGAGAAAGCTGCGTACAGGAGTACAACAGGAAGAAGAGACATCTGCAGAAACTTTTTGTGGAGCCCTGCTACAGGCTGCAAGGGGCCAGCATCCCGGGCTTGAATGAGGTGGCTTTGTTGAGCCCCTGTGAAAAACAAAATGTACTCATGCATGTTTTGCAGGTTGATTCAGATTTCCTGGGCAGGTTTTCAAAAAACACTCAGCTGTACTTTGCCTGTGTCTTGTACTGGGTTCGTAAAGTAACCCCTAAAATAACATTTGGTCAGTTAGACAGCCTGATAGTCTGTGTTTTACTTTTGAAAGCACAACGACACCTCAAAAAAAGAAAAGCAGGGAAGAAAAGAACAACAGAACTCAAGGAGAAAGAAAAAAATTCTGCACTGCTGGAGAATAATGATGCTGAGAAAAGCAGTAGTGACAACGTGACCTTTGACATTGACAAGTTGTGTGTTGAGTGTAAACTGGAGGATCTTGAACAGCTGTGCCACAACTTAGACAAGTACCACAAAAAGTCACCGTCCTTCAACAACAACCACAAGTTCCAGCCTCAGATTCTCCATGCCTTCGCTCAGCTTCAAGCTGTGCTAAGTGACACCATTCATCTATACAAAGTCCTCCAGAGCCCTTTTACCAAACTGTACCCAGCTCAACTTCTAAATGGGACTTTTCTCTACAACTTTTCATCTGAGCTTACTCAAAGAACTCGGCCGGATGAGTTCATTACTGCCATGCTGGGTAGGTCTTCACCAATCAATGCTATGTACAATGAAATCAGAACTTTTCTCTTGAACTGTGCTGGGGTTGAGTGTTTTGAACCTACTGTAGTGGTGAAGAAGTCAAAGAAAAAGAAAACGAAAGCTAAGAGTAAAAAAAAAGTTGAAAAGGCTGTTGAAGATGCTGCTAACAGTGATGGAGAGAAAGAAGAAGAAATAGAAAGTATTTCTGGATTTGACATAGCTAACAAATTTAGCTTGCTTTGTATGGATTAGGAAAACAATCTGCTGTTTTGTTTTTTAAATGCTTGTACAGAAATTTTTAGTAGAAGTTTAATTTTGCCTGGTAATATTTTTTTAGCGCAATTTCCATTCTGGAGAATTGCGTTTATTAACCCGTCATTTCTGGATGTATGAATGTATGGATGGATGGATGGATGGATGGATGTGTGTCCGCAGCTTTAAGTCGTATCTCCTCCTCAACGAAGCAATATCGATGACTAGTTCCAAAAGCATTTATGTTAAGCAAGTTACGAGGATGAACATAGGCTATAAAAATTACGGGTTTCTTTCATGGATTTCCTGGAAAAGCCAAAAAACCTAGAAAAAAAGCAGTTTTTGGCCCATATCTCGGCAACCAGACCACTTAGCGACTTGAAACATGTACCAATCGATTCCTGCCATAATTTAGAACAATATTGCCGAAGAAAGTTTTCAAAAATATCCTTTCGTTCGGTCACAAAAATTTTTTTGAATTAATTAAAATTTGGACCGAATTAGTAGGCATTTTTTCCAACCACACCACACGCGTCATCACGTTCAATAGCGGCACCATCACGTTCTATGGCTTCGTCATCACGTTCAGTAGCTAGGCGCGCAATGGTTTTTAGTCATGTAACTCTATTGTAAATAAAACATGTAAAATACTGAAATTTTTTTTTAATAAAAAACGTTTTAATAACAAACCAATGGTTTTACTAACCCTGCTCTTGATTTACGCTACGACAGAGCTATTTTTAGATAACATAAGGAAATTGCGCTAAAATTGTCACTAGACTTTTTAATTAACTTGTTTAATTTTTGGAGTGGGCATTAAGAAAGTTTTAATTGGGACAGCATGACATAGCGGTAGAGCCCTAGATTGCTAACCTGAAAGTCTTGTGTTTGAATCTGAGTTCAAGTCATTAGAACATCCCTGAGTCCCCCAGCTCTGATGGGTACCTAACTCACATTAGGGAAAGTAAAGATCGCAGAAATAGGTGAACTCTCCTTCACTTGCTCCATGGATTGGCAGGTTCAAAAAGGGACTTTACTTACTACTTCTTTGGAGGAATGTTGTTGCTTCCCTTAGATTTGATTTCTGTATAGGGTTTTTATTAATATGAAAGTCCCTTCTTAATGTTTGAAAAGTTTAAAATATATTTTGTAAAAATAACTTAGTATACAGTGTGGATCATTTTTAGTCATTGTTTTTTTTTTTTACATTTGATAAACATAACTGTTTTGCTTTATAATTGTTGTATAATTAAGAAAGTATGAGCACATTTTAACTTATTTTAAGGTTAAAATTGTTAGTCATTGCCTCTTCAATGCTCTATTGTGGAAATGTGCAACTTTTTTATTACTGTGATATGTGCAGTATACTAAATGTTGAGTAGTTTATACTACAATAAAAATAATGATTTTTTTTGTTGTGAAACTATAGTCAAACAATACTGTCAAGTGAAAGTAAACATAAATCTCAGAATTCTATTTATCTATTACATCATTACTGGTTTTAGAGGTAAACTCTACTTCCCCTGTTGTATTGACTCTATTTTACTTAAGCTTGCTAAACGATCTTTTGTAAATAATAAATATATATATATGTATGTATGTATATATATATATATATATATATATATATATATATATATATATATATTCTACAAAATCATAATAAATTCTGTCATTGTGATGTCTAATTTCTATTCAAATAAATGTGTGATCAAGTTTTAAAAAACGAAACAATTTAAAAAGCATTTTATTAAACATTATTTATAATGGAAATAAGCTTGTATAAATGAACATGATTGTATAAAATATCAAAAGCGTTTGTATAATATGTTACAACTGAAACTACATTGTGCTAGAACTAACTTCTCTACAGAGACTGTTCACTCTATCTAAATTAACAAGAGCAATAAAATGGCAACAAGCAACATGAAGCTGAGGTCAGTTGACTTCAGTAAGGCACAGCTGTTGGTTGATTTAACTGAGGAGGCAAAGATAGATTGAATTGAATTTGCTGTTAAATTTTGTCATATTGTTTTCAATATAATTATTTTAAAAAACTATGCAAGGAAAGGTGTGAGCAAGAAGACATAGCAGATGTTCTACATAACTCCACCCTTACCTAAACAATCAGGAGTAACATGGTGACGGTGCTTATAGGTGTACTGCACCCCAACCACATGCCGTTATTTACAGACACAGCCCCCCATCACAAACCAAGTACTTACCTTGTCTTATTAGTAGTGGCACCCGACATCCACCTTAAACTATGTGGCGTCACTTAAAGACACCCCCCCCCCCCCAAAATATCACTCAGTTCACCTTGAGTATCAGTCATGGTACCTAACCTTTGTACCTCCGCCACCGTATCAGTCATGGTACCTAACCTTTGAACTTCCGCCACAAATCGAGTGCTCAGCTTGACCTAACAGTGGTTTTACCCCACGTGTAACCACGCCCCTCCCCCTCACACACAAATCGAATGCTTACCTTGATATTACATTTGTTACACCCCACACTTGCACCCCTATCCCCCATCCTACTACGAGTCTAGGACTCACCTAAGAGTTGTGGTACCACATCCTTCCAGTAAGTGCACGTGTCGCTCCTCAGGCCAGACTTCACGGTGTAAATGCTTGGCTGAACAATCTGCAGGTACTTCTGCTCGTTATGTTTATACTCTGGCCACACACTGCCTGGGTTCCTGAAATTGAGAGGGTGGAAGAAATTGTAAATCGACCGGTACATTAAAAGGTATAGGAAATAATCAAGGTTAGCATAACAAGAAAATAAGTTCGTCCTGCTTAGAATGGGTCATAAACAAACGCCTATGCTTAGACTGGACGGAAACTTTGGCGACGCATATTAGGGTAATGTTCAATGCTGTCTGCACTCGTTTCTATACTCATAACAGGGCAGGATTTTTTTCAGTTAATACAAAAATCTTTCCAACTTAATTTATCATTTAAAAAGTTACAGTCTATACACTATAGGCCTACACATCTGCATTCTAAAACAACAAATTGGAAGTTTGATTGCCGAGACATTAACTTCAGGAAAATCACCTAGTCTCACGAGCAAGGAATTTAATCTAGTCTGGAAATAAATCTCCACGTAAAGCTAGACTCAAACATCCGATTACTGGGTAATGGATATCAACGCAATGTAACGGCACTCAAGGTGACGGAGAGTCTAATGACCAAATCACTCAGCCAGCTTTGATGGCAAACTTGGCCATCCAATACATAACTCATCCAGTTTTGGTGAACGTCACCACCATTCCATAACTCACACAGTTTTGATGAAAGTCACCACCATTCCACAACTCACCCAGTTTTGGCAAACTTAGCCATCCGATACATAACTCACCTAGTTTTGGCAAACTTAGCCATCCAATACATAACCCACCCAGTTTTGATGAACGTCACCACCATATCACAACTCACCCAGTTTTGGCAAACGTCGTCACCCATTGCATGATGTCCTGGCTCATGACCTTCTCCCCGCTGGTGAAGTTTCCGCTGGTGTTTGACCACGGGGCGCCAAAGAAAAACGGCAGCTCTAGCCCGTGGGGTGCGCCGATCCACTGTGGCCACGGGAGGTTGCTAGCCCTGTGCTCGAGTGAGTACATGTACACGTGACCGCCCTGCCTGGAGAATTCTTGAGCGAACTCCGTCACCCCGCATTTGAAAAGGATGTCCCCGCTGTTGATTTTAAAAAAAAGGTTTTACTTTTTTCACTTTTTGTTGTTGTTAAAATGCTTCATAATTTGCCGAGAAAAAAAATGTCTTGTAATATTGCTAGTAATAGTGCCAGTAATGTTTAATTTTGTTATCTCCCCTTGGTTTCTAAACCGTTTAATTAGTTTTTAATGACTAATTAATTATCTAATTAAATTAAATATAGGTAGACTTTTATTGTTATCGAAGTAAAACGTATTTGGAAAGATATATATATATATATATATATATATATATATATATATATATATATATATATATATATATATATATATATATAAAATATAAATATATATATAGGCCTATGTATATATATATATATATATATATATATATATATATATATATATATATATATATATATATATATATATATATATATATATATATATATATATATATATATATATATATATATAATTATATATATAATCATAATAATACTATCACGACCAGGAATCCCAGTCAGGCTAAAACTCGCCTCTCATATGTAGATAGATGTATAAAACGGTGGTGATTTATTCTCAGTGCATGGCAGCCTCCCAATGTTTACTTCAGTGTTTAGCCTAGCGTGACACAACAAGTCAGGCATATCAGATGCCGACGAAGCACTGAGTCGGGTAATTACCCATGAAGAAAGGTCACATAACTATAGAAAAATGTTTTTCCCACACATTGAGCTATCATTTGAATTGAGCTGTAAAAATTCTTATGGTGGTTTTAAGATCAGCTCCAAGAATAGAATATCGTTTGAATAACTTGGGCAAGTACAGTGAATTCCTTGTTGGTGTGGTTGTGGAATGTGTTGTGGAATGTGTTGGTGTGGTTGTGGAATTTGTTGGTGTGGTTGTGGAATGTGTTGGTGTGGTTGTGGAATGTGTTGGCGTGGTTGTGGAATGTGTTGGCGTGGTTGTGGAATGTGTTGACGTGGTTGTGCAATGTGTAGGTGTGGTTGTAGAATGTGTTGTGGAATGTGTTGGTGTGGTTGTGGAATGTGTTGGTGTTGTTGTGGAATGTGTTGGTGTGGTTGTGGAATGTGTTGGTGTGGTTGTGGAATGTGTTGGTGTGGTTGTGGAATGTTGGTGTGGTTGTGGAATGTGTTGGTGTGGTTGTGGAATGTGTTGGTGTGGTTGTGGAATGTGTTGGTGTGGTTGTGGAATGTTGGTGTGGTTGTGGAATGTGTTGGTGTGGTTGTGGAATGTGTTGGTGTGGTTGTGGAATGTGTTGGTGTGGTTGTGGAATGTGTTGGTGTGGTTGTGGAATGTGTTGGTGTTGTTGTGGAATGTGTTGGTGTGGTTGTGGAATGTGTTGGTGTGGTTGTGGAATTTGTTGGTGTGGTTGTGGAATTTATTGGTGTGGTTGTAGAATGTGTTGGTGTGGTTGTGGAATGTGTTGGTGTGGTTGGGGAATGTGTTGGTGTGGTTGTGGAATGTGTTGGTGTAGTTGTGGAATGTGTTGGTGTGGTTGTGGAATGTGTTGGTGTGGTTGTGGAATTTATTGGTGTGGTTGTAGAATGTGTTGGTGTGGTTGTGGAATGTGTTGGTGTGGTTGGGGAATGTGTTGGTGTGGTTGTGGAATGTGTTGGTGTAGTTGTGGAATGTGTTGGTGTGGTTGTGCAATGTGTTGGTGTGGTTGTGGAATGTGTTGGTGTGGTTGTAGAATGTGTTGGTGTGGTTGTGGAATGTGTTGGTGTGGTTGTGGAATGTGTTGGTGTGGTTGTTGAATGTGTTGGTGTGGTTGTGGAATGTGGAATGTGTTGGTGTGGTTGTTGAATGTGTTGGTGTGGTTGTGGAATGTGGAATGTGTTGGTGTGGTTGTGGAATGTGGAATGTGTTGGTGTGGTTGTGGAATGTGTTGGTGTGGTTGTGGAATGTGTTGGTGTGGTTGTGGAATGTGGAATGTGTTGGTGTGGTTGTGGAATGTGTTGGTGTGGTTGTGGAATGTGTTGGTGTGGTTGTGGAATGTGTTGGTGTGGTTGTAGAATGTGTTGGTGTGGTTGTGGAATGTGTTGGTGTGGTTGTGGAATGTGAAATGTGTTGGTGTGGTTGTGGAATGTGTTGGTGTGGTTGTGGAATGTTGGTGTGGTTGTGGAATGTGTTGGTGTGGTTGTGGAATGTGTTGGTGTGGTTGTGGAATGTGTTGGTGTGGTTGTAGAATGTGTTGGTGTGGTTGTAGAATGTGTTGGTGTGGTTGTGGAATGTGTTGGTGTGGTTGTGAAATGTGTTGGTGTGGTTGTAGAATGTGTTACTGTGGTTGCGAAATACGTTGGTGTGGTTGTGGAATGTGTTGGTGCGGGATTTTTTTCTATAATGTTTTGTGCACACTGTACTGGTTGAGAGATGGAGGTGGGGGGGGGGGGGGGGAGTTTTATATTTGTTTTAGATAGCGACAAACTTACACGTGTGTATTTGAGGTTAGATAAGGATACACAATTAGACTGTGTCATATATGGGTGTGTAAATTAAACACGAGAAAATATATTTTTATGACGGAATGGATGAAATTCTAACATAGAGAAAAGGTGAGTCATCCGCTGGTCTCGGACATTACCCCCCCCCGGTAACCTAACCTATCCATATCTCTATCCCTAGTAGGTTAAGGGTCAATTAGTAGTAGTCCTATTGGGGGGGGGGGGGAACATACTGCAGTTTTTTGTAGGCGGGGAGGGAGGTAATATACAAGAGAAATTTGTCTTAGGTCTAAAGAGAAATGAACAAAAAGAATTTTTTTTTGTTGGGGGGGGGGGGGGGGGTAATGCAGTGGCGTAGCGAGGTCGGATGTCACCCGGTGCGGCACTTAATGGTGTCACCCCCCCCCCAGAGGCGTAACGACCCTTCCCGGGGACAAACTTTCAAATTTTCGATTTGCACCCCCCCCCCCCCATCAAACTTTCGATTTGCACCCCCCCCTTCAAGTTTTTCTCTATATATTTTGCTATTTTTGCCTTGGTGTCACCCCCCTAAATGGTGTCACCCGGTGCGGTCCGCACCCCCCGCACCCCACCCCCCTCGCTACGCCTCTGGGGCAATGTACAGGGGGATATTGATCTACCTGGTAATGACGGGTTGTGTTTGTGTGGGGGGGGGGGGGGAAGAGAGGGGCAATGTCCTGCTCCCCTTATATACACAAATCACGTGTTGAGAACTCCGGCCTAATGCAGCCAGTCATTGCACTTTAACACTGTACACACTCAATTCGTCGCTGTCTGCTTTAATCGTTTACAAATTTACATGCCGTGGGGTTTTAATTGGCTACTAACATACCAGACATTCCAAATTTTTTTCTATTCAACAGTAACGTTTTATAGCTCCGGCGTTTACACGTGTGACATGTATACTATACACGTCTAGAGAAAAAAAAACTAGCAGCAAATAAGTATGCAAGCGTAAATGGGGTGTTATTGAAATCATACTCGTTATAAAGTCTATGGTAAGCTTATAATAGTCATAGCTACTGCAATTGGCCTATAACAGTCATAGCTCTAGGTACATTTGGCCTTTAATAGTCATAGCTATAGATATTATATAGGATAGCTATAACAGTTGTAGCTGTCTAATTTTAAAAGTTTTCCACTTTTCTGTTAAAAATAAACCTTATAAATAATTCTAAAACAACAAACTTATCTATTCGACTAATAAAACACACATGTATTCAATTAGTAAAACACATGCAAATAAAAATAAATACAACACATGTCTATTCAACTAATACAACACATGTCTGTTCAACTAATACAGCACATGTCTGTTCAACCAATACAACACACATATCTATTCAACTAGTACAATATATATATATATATATATATATATATATATATATATATATATATATATATATATATATATATATATATATATATTCAACTTATACAACACATACATCTTTTCAACTAATACAGCATCCATATCTATGCACCTAATACAACATACATATCTATTCAACTAATACAACACATATCTATTCAACTAATACAACACAAAATCTATTGAACTAATACAACACAAATATCTATTCAACTAATACAACATACATAGCTATGCACCTAATACAAAGTCTGAATGGTGTCACTAGGTCGGGTGTTACCTGGTGCAGCAGCTGAGGGTGTCAACACCCCCAACACCCCCCCCCCCTCCAATAAATTTGTATTATTGGTCTGGTGTCACCTATTTCCCCCAACTATTTAATTACTTTAACTAGATAAAACATTTTTTGAACTGTAAATACCCCCCCCCCCCCCTTTAAATGGCTTCACCTGGTGCAAGTCTAGCCCGCCTTGTGACGCTACTGTAAAATCCAAATCTATCATTCAGAAATCGATAGGGCTGATTTAAATACAAAACACTAGCGCTACCCCTAACAAAATAGTCATCACAGGGTTTCTTTCAGGCATTTTCTAGGGGGGTACTTAAAATTTGAAATTCCTATGGGAAAGTGGGGGATGCTTAATTAGCTTACACCTTCTTACTCATTACTCAATCTAAACCTTATAAATAAACAACACATTTATCACAGAGCAGTATAAAAACCGCTGTGGGGAAACAAGAAATCTTCAAACATTCGACTTCCGGACGTGCAAGTGTTATAAATGTAAAATCTTTTTTCACCTTAGATCGTCAAGAACACCAATGTAATCAGACCTCCCACGCGCAAACTCGGCTGCAACGTTCTTCACGACGTTCGCCTGTTGGTAACTCGGGCCGACGGACTTGAGGATTCCGTCGACAATTTCTGGGTACCGGGTGGAGTTGATGTTGGGGCTGGATACGTTGAAGTCACCTGCGAAGCCGTAGAGTAGCCAATAGCTGCCCTCGTCTTTCACAACACCGGTCAGCAGATTTCTGTTACTTAGCTGGATATTGAAGGAATAGATGTTTGCAATGTAAAAAAAAAAAAAAAACAACAACAGTTTTTCTATCAGGTATCTCTTGAGGGGGGGGGGGGGGGGGGGGGGGGGCAGTCACCTTCACCCAAACGAAATAGAATTTGTATAGAAAATATATACTTTTGCCAGTGTCCGCCCCTCTCCCCCACCCCCCACCCCCACGCCCACCACGGTTATTTTTAGTCCGCCCCTTCCTATGAAAGTTTCAAGTGCTACCCCTTCCCCTCCTCCCCCTCCTCCTCCCCCTTCCACGCTTAGAAAAAGTCGGAAAGAAACATAAAGAACAAATGTAAAACTTTTTATAATAACTAGCTTAGCTGCACTTAAAAGCAGGAAAATAAATTAAACTTTCCTTCTGTAGTAGTAAACCAGTTGGTCGCTAAAATGTGTAAGAGATTATACGAGCTAACAGCCCCATTGTTCTAAAAGGAGACAGTTAAGCTCCTATTCAAGCGAGATTTTATAATTGCCTGTAACAAAGAATCAACGGCTTTCGAGTTGTTTTTTTTTTTAAATTGTCTTCTTTTAGTTTTAGAACACCCTCATTTCTATTGTCACAAATTTCATCCTCTACCCTCACAAAACCACTTATCTGACTCTCTACCCTCACAAAACCACTTATCTGACTCTCTACCCTCACAAAACCACTTATCTCATACTCTACCCTCACAAAACCACTTATCTGACTCTCTACCCTCACAAAACCACTTATCTCATACTCTACCCTCACAAAACCACTTATCTGACTCTCTACCCTCACAAAACCACTTATCTCATACTCTACCCTCACAAAACCACTTATCTCATACTCTACCCTCACAAAACCACTTATCTCATACTCTACCCTCACAAAACCACTTATCTGACTCTCTACCCTCACAAAACCACTTATCTCATACTCTACCCTCACAAAACCACTTATCTCATACTCTACCCTCACAAAACCACTTATCTCATACTCTACCCTCACAAAACCACTTATCTCATACTCTACCCTCACAAAACCACTTATCTCATACTCTACCCTCACAAAACCACTTATCTGACTCTCTACCCTCACAAAACCACTTATCTCATACTCTACCCTCACAAAACCACTTATCTCATACTCTACCCTCACAAAACCACTTATCTCATACTCTACCCTCACAAAACCACTTATCTGACTCTCTACCCTCACAAAACCACTTATCTCATACTCTACCCTCACAAAACCACTTATCTCATACTCTACCCTCACAAAACCACTTATCTCATACTCTACCCTCACAAAACCACTTATCTCATACTCTACCCTCACAAAACCACTTATCTCATACTCTACCCTCACAAAACCACTCATCTCTTCAATTCCCCCCCCCCCCCCCCCACCAGGAGCACGCCCACCACAACCATCCCAGGTCGAAAATAAAATAATTGTTATAGAAAATATGTGTCCCCCACCCCACACTCCCCTTTTTCCCGGAAATATCTGAAAGAAACACTAGTTCGAATTTTTTTTTTTAAATCAGGCGGTTAACTTGTTTACACCTCATTAGAAAATCCAATCTGGAATGTTCAACATTTGTAGTCACACTATTGAGTCTTGAACTTTATACACTTAAAGAAAATTTAAAGAAAACGCCCCTTTAACAGCGAACAAATAAATTATTTCTTTTTATTAAAGTAGCCTTATTATCACATTCCAAAAGTAGCTCTATACTAAAAATAGCTAAACATCATAGAAAACAGTGGGACCTCTCACGATGGTAAGTGTTGGCTTTATCCTTCCCAAAACCTGATGCGTATGTTTTATTTACAACTTAATAAAAACAAACATTCAAAATCTGTCGACTGTGTCCTGTGTTCTTAGAGACTATAACATACTTGTACACCAGTTTTTCTTTCTATCAAAGTAAAACTTCATATTTCGCACGCCCTGTGTAAGTTTTTTTTTTATTCATGACTGACGAAACATTAAGTAGTTGACAAATTGGTTTACCATAGAAAACAGTTAAAAATAGTGCTTGGTTAAAAAACGATCAGTAAGGAATGTCTTTGTTAACCCAAAAAACTTGTTTCTATTGAAATATTTATTAAAGACTTGGAAAATAACTTTGCTTTTCATCATGGGTTAGTGTCCCTGCTATTTTTTAAATAGATTTTTGTTTTCCATTATAAAACAAATTTTGATCTTTATTAATCTTTCGTATTTAACAAAACAATATGTAAGTAAGTGGAAATAACTAATATATAGGTCTCAAGCAATTAACCAGTAGTATCCTAATATATAAAAGCCCATGTGCGCACTTCTCTCTCTCTCTCTCTCTCTCTGTCCGCAAAATATTTTCGTAGGGTATCACATCAGAATCTTCAGCGATATATGGAGAACTTGACGGACTTTTGTTGAAAATAATATGGTAAATGTTTTAAATGTATAACCAACATTTTATTTAAAGAAGAAAAATATAAAAAAATAAAGGCGTATTCGAATGTAGAAAAACAGTTTTAATTATGCAACAGGAAAAGTGTTTATAGTTGTTAAAAAGAACCCATGAAACAATGACGTCACTAATGTTTATACATTAACTAATGACGTCATCTGCCGAGTTTAGAATAAAAAGAAATTAACTATTTCATTCAAATTTGATTTAGATCTACGTACGCTATGAAATGTATACAATACAATTTTTCCGGCCTAAACTTACAAAATTTATTTTATCTATTTGGATTCTAGATCTAGAGATTCTAGATCTAGACTAGATCTAAATCTGTGCAAAAACTAGACGTAGATGCTAATCTAATAAGTCGCTAGGATCTAGATTTAGACTCTATCTACTCTAGAATCTATTCCAAAAATAAATTTCTATATTAAACTATTTCAGGCCTTAATTATTTTATAGAAATCTTTGTTTGTTTAGCTATGGAACTGGCTAGTTTGGGATAAAAAAAAATTAATACTCCATATAAATAGCTGAAATAGCTGAAATGATAGTGTACTTTATACCACGCAGGTGGCGCGGGATCGAGACACACCGATTCGAACTAATTTTTTTTATATATGTGAATCTTCCAATTTTAGACTAAAGAAAGGAACTACTTCATTCAAATTTGATTTAGATCTAGATCTATAGATCTACTCACCAAGACGTACGCTAAGAAATATATACAATTTTATCGGTCAAACTAATACAAATTACTTAAAAACAACATAATGACCATTGAATAGCCAGATTTTTAACGGAATCATTTAAGTCACTTAATCAGCGTGTGCCTATATTATGTTAAATGTGTAGGATTTTTAGGTAATTAGTTATTTCTTTGCTTTGTCACTAATATTGTTCAGCGTGTAGTAAAGCACATTGCGTTTTGACCAATAATTATTTCATAAATTATTTTTCTCAAACAAGTACAACATTTTAAAATATATAGGCCTATAATTCACGTGAAACGGGTACCGATAGCTAGTTTCATACTAGTACTTCAGAACTTTTTGTCTAAACCTTAAAGGTATAACACAGTATGCTACATGTATGCAAGTAATGAAAATATGGTAGTTAGCTTATTTTATAAAGTACAATTAGACAATGCAACTATAACTGTAAGTAAAATTGTATTCTGTTATATTGTACTCTTAAATTTTACTCTTTCACGGTGTATTCTATAGTTTGGACCGAGTCAATTGTTTGAACAACAATTTAATTAAACAAGAACAGCTAGACCTATTTGTTTTACGGACGGGCTGGGTGGGCAGTTCTACTATGTGGGCATAACTCGGACTCTCTCTCTCTCTCTCACACACACACACACACACACACACACATATATATATATATATATATATATATATATATATATATATATATATATATATATATATATATATATATATATATATATATATATATATATATATATATATATATCTTGATGAATATCAACTGCTCTATTCTATACTAACCCTATCTCGAGTCATCAATTCACTCGGATGTTTGACCAAAAATTGACCATCTACGACTGGAGCAAACGGCAGATCAAAGTAGGATTCCACAAGCCCCCACTGGTTCTTGACCAACTCGATGGGTTTTGTGTCTCTAAGGCACTTCATGGGGTCTGGTTGTGTACAGCTGACAAAGTTGGCTAACTTCTTGGCTCTGTTCATTGCTTTATCTGTTGGCTAAACGATCAAAAGTTATTACAGTTTTGGGAGGGTTGTAATTATAACATTATAACCATAAAGTTAAGCGTTACAGCTTGAATTATTAGGTGTTCTCCCATTTTTAATTAAGTTTTTTTTTAAAATAATGTCAGTTTCATGCTAGTAGTACCATAAACATCACGCCGATTTGTAGATTGGCTTTTGATTTGTAGCGTCTAAAAATGGGAGGGGGTGGGGGGGGGGGGGGGGAATGACGCCACTGTTTGTATTTTTACACACACTTGGCATTCAATTCTTAGCTCTTAGACTCTGACGCAAGTCTTGGTTGGATACAAAGAGGAGGAGTCTCCCGTATAAAGAATTAGAGTTTATATACTCAAATGAGTTTCAGACTTCACTAATGTATTGTTTAATTAAAACTTAACACTACTATCTACACTATTTAGAACAGAGGTGTGTTCAGATTTTCCCCAGGAGGTACCCATGCCATTATTTAGAACGGAGGTGTGTTCAGATTTTCCACAAGATGTACCCACTCCTTTCCCATAATTTTCCTGTAGAGTCAGTGAAGACATACCTGGATTGCCCAGTATGCAGTTGGAGAGCCACTCATCATCATGGCATTCTTGAAGTACTGGCTGGAGTTAGTGGACAGGAGATGGAACCCCACGCTAGTAGCTCCTGCACTCTCCCCGAATATTGAGATGTTGTTTGGGTCCCCGCCCATGTTTTCCGCGTTGTCGTGAATCCACTGGCAGAATGGAAATATTTTTTTTTTAATTTTATCATGTTGGTCTACATCAGTGTTTCTAATTTGTTTTAAACGGTCTAGTATTATTATTAAATTTCAAAACTAATGTCCTGTCACCTAATGTCCACTCAACTAATGTCCACTTAACTAACATCCACTTAATGTCCAGTGAAAAATTTGCGTACACAATTTTTTTTTTGTAAAGAAAACCATCGAATATTAGATGTCTACAGAAATAATCCCTACCTTAAGTGCCAAACATATCTATAGAGATAATCCCTACCTTAAGAGCTGTATCTGTCTATGAAGATAATCCCTACCTTTAATGCCATACATGTCTACAGAGATAATCCCTACCTTTACAGCCATACCTGTCTTTAGAGATAACCCCTACATTGCACCATACCTGTCTATAGAGATAATCCCTACCTTTAGCGCCAATTGCTGGTCCAATAGCCCGACATTTCCTGGAGCTTCAGAGCTGTTCATAAACAAGAAGCCGAGTGCTCCAACCCTAAAGTTGAGAGGACATTTTATTATATCTCCAGTGACTATATATACGTATATATATATATATATATATATATATATATATATATATATATATATATATATATATATATATATATATATATATATATAGTGTTGTGTACGTGATAACGTGTATGTATTTATGTATGTGTGTCTGCCGTAAAAAGAATAATTAATTCCACTTGATATTTTACCTGTAGTTCATAGAGACGATGATGATGTTATTTTTCCGAGCCAACACGGCACCATCATACATATCCAGTGTGGAGGTACCACCCCAGAATCCACCTCCGTATATCCAGACCAAGATGGACTTGCGTTCTGTTGTGTCGGGGATCCAGGCATTCAGGTATAGGCAGTCTTCACTAGGGGGAGAGGACTGGACATTAGGGGAGTGGACATTAGGTGAGTGGACATTAGAGGAGTGGACATTAGGTGAGTGGACATTAGGTGAGTGGACATTAGGTGAGTGGATATTAGGTGAGTGGACATTAGGGGAGTGGACATGAGGTGAGTGGACATTAGGTGAGTGGACATTAGGTGACTGGACATTAGGTGAGTGGACATTAGGTGAGTGGACCATAGGTGAGTGGACATTAGGGGAGTGGACATTAGGTGAGTGGACATTAGGTGAGTGGACATTAGGGGAGTGGACATGAGGTGAGTGGACATTAGGTGAGTGGACATTAGGTGACTGGACATTAGGTGAGTGGACATTAGGTGAGTGGACCATAGGTGAGTGGACATTAGGGGAGTGGACATTAGGTGAGTGGACATTAGGTGAGTGGACATTAGGTGAGTGGACATTAGGTGAGTGGACATTAGGTGACTGGACATTGGGGGAGTGGACATTAGGTAAGTGGATATTGGGGGAGTGGACATTAGGTGAGTGGACATTGGGGGAGTGGACATTAGGGGAGTGGACATTGGGGGAGTGGACATTAGGTGAGTGGACATTGGGGGAGTGGACATTAGGTGAGTGGACATTGGGGGAGTGGACATTAGGTGAGTGGACATTAGGTGAGTGGACATTTAGTGAGTGGACATTAGGTGAGTGGACATTAGGTGAGTGGACATTAGGTGAGTGGACATTAGGTGAGTGGACATTAGGTGAGTGGACATTAGGTGGAGTGGACATTAGGTGAGTGGACATTAGGTGAGTGGAGATTAGGTGAGTGGACATTAGGTGAGTGGACATTAGGTGAGTGGACATTAGGTGAGTGGACATTAGGTGAGTGGACATTAGGTGAGTGGACATTAGGTGAGTGGAGATTAGGTGAGTGGACATTAGGTGAGTGAATATTTGGTGAGTGGACATTGGGGGAGTGGACATTGGGGGAGTGGACATTAGGTGAGTGAATATTTGGTGAGTGGACATTTAGTGAGTGGACATTAGGTGAGTGGACATTAGGTGAGTGGACATTAGGTGAGTGGACATTAGGTGAGTGGACATTAGGTGAGTGGATATTTGGTGAGTGGACATTTAGTGAGTGGACATTAGGTGAGTGGACATTAGGTGAGTGGACATTAGGTGAGTGGACATTAGGGGAGTGGACATTAGGTGAGTGGAGATTAGGTGAGTGGAGATTAGGTGAGTGGACATTAGGTGAGTGGACATTAGGTGAGTGGACATTAGGTGAGTGGACATTAGGTGAGTGGAGATTAGGTGAGTGGACATTAGGTGAGTGGACATTAGGTGAGTGGAGATTAGGTGGCTGGACGTTAGGTGAGTGGACATTAGGTGAGTGGACATTAGGTGAGTGGAGATTAGGTGAGTGGACATTAGGTGAGTGGACATTAGGTGAGTGAACATTAGGTGAGTGGACATTGGGGGAGTGGACATTAGGTGGGTGGAGATTAGGTGAGTGGACATTAGGTGAGTGGACATTAGGTGAGTGGACATTAGGTGAGTGGAGATTAGGTGAGTGGACATTAGGTGAGTGGACATTAGGTGAGTGGAGATTAGGTGGCTGGACGTTAGGTGAGTGGACATTAGGTGAGTGTAGATTAGGTGAGTGGACATTAGGTGAGTGGACATTAGGTGAGTGGAGATTAGGTGGCTGGACGTTAGGTGAGTGGACATTAGGTGGCTGGACGTTAGGTGAGTGGACATTAGGTGAGTGGACATTAGGTAAGTGGACAATAGGTGACGGGGCAATAGTAGAGGGTTCAGGAAACAGGTAGAATTTTAGGGAGAGTACCTATTCCACTTAGAGGTGGTACTTTATGCAAATTAAGAGAGATAACTTATACAACTTAGGGGAGATAATTTATAAAACCTAGGGGAGATAACTTATACAACTTAGGCGAGAAAACTTATACAAATTAGGCGAGATAACTTATACAACTTATTAAACGAGAGAACTAAGAAAACTCAAGGAAGGGAACTAATACAACTTACAGAACATAACGTATACAAGACAAGTGAGAGAACTCAAAAGAGAAACACAGATACTATTGAAGGGCGATAACTAAAAGTTCAGGCGAGAGAACTGAAGCTACTGTTTGATACCTTAAGTAAGTGTTTGCGTTCCACGCGTCCACGGCGGGGGCCCTGTTAAAAGTTTCGTCTATCGTCTGCCAGCAAGAGTTAGGTCTCACTGTCGTCTTGACAGTACTGGTCCAGGATTTTTTAGGCATCGGTGGCTGGAAACACAGGCAACATTTGACGGGGTGTTGTGATTAGCCGTACACGCAGAATTGATTTGCCGTACACGCAGAATTGATTTGCCGTACACGCAGAATTGATTAGATAAATTAGCTTTTCCCACAGAATTGATTAGCCATATTAGCCGTACCTACAGAAATAATTAGCCGTACCTACAGAAATAATTAGCCGTACCCACAGAAATGATTAGCCGTACCTACAGAAATGATTAGCCTTACCCACAGAATTGATTATATAAATTAGCTTTACCCACAGAATAGATTATATAAATTAGCTTTACCCACAGAATTGATTATATAAATTAGCTTTACCCACAGAATTAATTATATAAATTAGCTTTACCCACAGAATTGATTATATAAATTAGCTTTACCCACAGAATTGATTATATAAATTAGCTTTACCCACAGAATTGATTATATAAATTAGCTTTACCCACAGAATTGATTATATAAATTAGCTTTACCCACAGAATTGATTATATAAATTAGCTTTACCCACAGAATTGATTATATAAATTAGCCGAACCCACAGAATTGATTATATAAATTAGCTTTACCCACAGAATTGATTAGATAAATTAGCTTTACCCACAGAATTGATTATATAAATTAGCTTTACCCACAGAATTAATTTTATAAATTAGCTTTACCCACAGAATTGATTATATAAATTAGCTTTACCCACAGAAATGATTAGATAAATTAGCTTTACCCACAGAATTGATTGATAAATTAGCTTTACCCACAGAATTGATTAGATAAATTAGCTTTACCCACACAATTGATTAGCCGTACCCACAGAATTGATTAGCCGTACCCACAGAATTGATTAGACGTACCCAATAGTGGTTTTCGAAACAGCTTATAAGAAAGGGTAAAGAATAGGTTTAATGCAAGGTTTAGAGCTAACGGTTGGGTTAGATTTAGGGATAGGGGATGTTTTAAAACTAGGGTTAATTTAGCTTAGGAGTTGTAGCAACTCTGAGTTTAGTTGTAAGTAAAGTTTCCCTTTGAACCATTTTGCAAGTGAAGTAGAGTTCACCTGTATCAGTGATAGTGTGGTTAGCACTATGCCCAGCTGCCTTTACTTTCCCTAACGTGAACGTAAACCCGGATTCGAACAAACTACTGAGTTTAGTTATATGAAATTATGTGTAATTTCGGTTAATCGCTCAAGACAGATTTAAGACGATTTAGAAAAAATTCAAAATATCAGTAAATTACGTTTCATGAAGTATTTTTTTAGAAACCTCGTTATTTGAAAATGTTTATTAATTATAAAGCACAAATAATAAACGTGTTATAAAGATACAGTACTCCCCAGTGTTGTCGGTGTGTGGTCATACGTACAGAAAATAACATATGTAACCAAGTTACTGTACACAAATTACATTCTGATTTTTTTTAAATGATTTGTGAAGAGACACGCTGATGACAAACTGTGAAATTATAATCGGCCTTCATCACACGATAGACGCTGACGGGAAAATGTGAAATTATAATTGGCCTACTTCACATGATACACGCTAACGGGAAAATGTGAAATTAAAATCACATGATAGACGCTGGCGACAAACGTTGTCTTTATCAGCGAGGAAAAAGCCATCAAGACTTCCTGATCTCTGCGGCGATATCAAGCTCAGCACACTGAAGAAAGGGTCAGCCAAGTATGACGTTAATACAGATGGACGGGGGACGGGACGGGGGACGGGGCGTGACTATAGTCGAATATTGTAGACACACTTGGACGTGTCCATTAGGAAGCTCACACGTTAAAAATGTAACATTGATGATCATACCATATGTAAAAAAAAAAAAAAAAAAACAGAAGGATTTAAATTATTCTTAAAGTTATACCAGTAGTACTGGGATACGGAGGGGGGGGGGGGGGCGGCTGCTGTGGACAAGAGAAGCTAAGTGTGAGGCTGGAATTAATTACTTGCTTGGGCGTCTTAAACGGACGATCGCTGAATCATTCAGCCCAACACACTGCTAAGCTAGAACATTTTAAAAATGTGGCTTGCCTATAATAATTGTCTTCTAAAGCTCGATCATATTTTAGACATGTAGTTTAGAATTACACCCAAAGTTAGAAAATATTAGAAATGGGGCTTGCCTATAATAATAGTCCTCTAAATCTCGTTAATATTTGGACGCGTAGTGTAGAATTTCACCCAAAGCAAGGACATATCAAACATGTCGCACGTTTAAAATTACCCCCATAGCTAGAAAACGGCTAGAATGGCTCTACACATCTAGACAATACTAAATATGCGACCTGTCTAAAATACTTAACAAATTAGGTACTTAAAATACTCTCCAAAACTGGCGAGTAACCAATACTTTACCGTGCGAATAGAAAGCACGAAAACTTACCTTAAAACGGAGATCCCCGATAGGAGGTTCTGCGAAAGGAATTCCATAAAACACTTTCAGCGTGACACTTTCACCTGACCCTGGGGGTACCAACATGCCAGATACCGTCCCCAACGTTGTATTCATGTCAACCGACATCTGCGCCGACACCATCACCACCAGCGACCACAACAGCAACAGAACCATCCGTGTCTCCATGTTTTGGTGTCTCCCTGCAGGTCACATTAACACGTTAGGCAACAGCAACAACAGCGAAATGACATGTTCAATCATTGTCTAATTAATGCAAACATCCCTCATTAAGCTGTCAAGCTCGACTCAGCGTGTTTTAATTAGAGTCGCATCAAGGATGTGGAGAGAAGACGACAACAAACAAAAATCATCGAGATATAAGAGACAAGTAACGGGTTTATGTCGGCTAATTGAGAGACACAGATTGTGTCAACGTTGTTGTCTACATCTTGTGTCAACGTTGTTGTCTAGATCTTGTGTTGGCTGATTTAGAAACAAAGATTGTGTCAACATTTATGTTAAGCTTATGTCGTCTTAATTAAAATCACATATTGTTTCAACGTTGTCGTCTAGATATTGTGACAACGTTATGTTCTAGATCTTGAGCCGCTAAATGACAGATTGTGTCAACGTGGTAGTTTAGATCTTGAGTTGGCTAATTGGGAAACATAGATTGTGTCAACATTGTATGTCAAGCTTATGTCAACTAAATTAAAATCACAGATTTTGTCAACGTTGTTGTCTAAATCTTGTGTCAACGTTGGTGTCTAGATCTTGTGTCAACGTTGTTGTCCAGATATTGTGTCAACGTTGTATGCCAATCGTTGAACACAGTTCGGATGAAACACACCTAACTAGACAACACTTGAACCTTTTTCTATTGCCTATCATATGCGCATGTGCATATAACTAGTTACACACACACACACAATATATATATATATATATATATATATATATATATATATATATATATATATATATATATATATATATATATATATATATATATATATATATATATATCACCCAATCACCTCACGGAACAGACACGCACTAGAACACACACCCCCACTCCCAGCTGTATACATCTCCCCCGACCCCCCCCCCCCACACACACCTACCCAATCCATTTCTGGACCCACCCACCCACCCACCCACCTTCTGAAATTTCTTATCTCCATCTAGCCCCCTTCCCCACACGGTTATCCCACTACCTCCCCCCCTCCCCCACACTGGTCCTCTCCACCCCTCCCTGGACCCACCATTGGAACCACCCGCTTAGAACACCACATGACCCCCGTCTTTTCAGACAACCTACGAGAAAGCAGTCGATGGAAAGATCGAGCCTTGAATACGTCATTCCAACGCCAGCAATACACGGCATTTTTCTACAGCATTCATCTACATCAATAGCTTATAAAAGAACATCGCGTCCACAATCTTTTCAAGTCAGTGTAATATCACTCGGGCTATTGAAGGCAGCAACACCAAAATGTTCGGTACGTAACACAAGTTACAAGGGCTGCGGACAAATACCTTTAAAATATTTTTTCTGGTTGCTATTTTAATCTTGGGGGACGGAGAATAGGAAAGCTGGGGTTCGAGAATCTTGATCTTACTTATATCAAGATTCTTGATGTTGCGGAGGTCAGAATTTTTGATGTTTCATATATCAAGGGAAGTCTAACCGTTTGTACACATTTTTTTGAGATTAGACGTGGGGTTCAAAATTATTGGTGTTATTTGTTCTTCGTTATTAATTATAATATTGGAAGGGATTTAGTTAATTATTACGTGTCAACTTGTCATGGCCCGTTTTACTTCTATTTCAGCCTGCTTTTCTTTCTTGATTTGGTTCCATACCCTTTGTCTAACCAAGAACAAACTACAAGACAACAATAGTATGGTTATGGAGTTGTCTCTCCTAGATGGGTTACTGTCCCCTGCTATCGAGTCTTAACTTCCAAGGGGTTCGCACTCGAATGAATGACAAGGATTATTATCTTACGAGGAAAAATAATCTTGATTTAAAAAGAAAATACAACTGTGATATTATGGATATTATGGAATGACAAGGATTGTTATCTTACGAAGAAAAATAATCTTGATTTAAAAAGAAAATACAATTGAGATATTATGGATTCGATACGTCAAAAAAGGCTATCTATGTAACATTAAGTCTTGAGATCAAGTTACAGTTGAACGGTAACTCTGCTTAAAGCTAAACGTTATACAAGTTTCAACTGAAATTAAAAACATCGTATTACAAATGTCACATTAGTATGTTATTGTTATGTTATATTGCAAATGTGACTACTTATGATACATTGCAAGCGTCTGCAAATGTCACATAGAATTTTTTTTATTATGAAATTTTCCGAGATTCAGATGACACATTATGTCTACCCATTCCACTTTGCACACTATTAATATAGGTATGTTTCGCTGTATTATTATACTACATTTCTGTTAAAGTGTAAACACAATTTATTGTTTATAATTCGTTCTCTATTTTAACTTTAATGTTTAATTGGATGGCAACTAGACCTCAAACCTCGCTAATCCTTTCCTATTGGTCACTCAACACATTCCACAGGTTATAATATTATAATAATAATAGTGTAGATGATATTTATACATCTCGTTTTACAAATCTTAAATTTAAAATTATATCGAATTTTAAAAGTCCACTCCCTAGATCCGACTCTACAAGGCCGACATCCCACTACAAAAGCCAGTTTGTAAATTCACAAAGTTAATAAAATAGATTGGATATCAACATAATAAGGAATACCCGTCAATAAAACATATTAGGTAACATTCCAATAAGGAATAGCCGTCAGTATAATAGATTAGGTAACATTCCAATAAGGAATAGCCGTCAATATAATAGATTAGGTAACATTACAATAAGGAATAGCCGTCAATATAATCAGAGTTTCTTCCAGGCATCTCTTCGGGGGGGGGGGGGGGGCTTCGCCCCCCGCCTCCCGGAAATTTTTCACCGCCCCCCCCCCCCGAACGAAATGAAATTTATATAATTTATATAGAAAATATATACTTTTAACAGTGTCCGCCCCCCCCCAGGAGAAAGTCTACCGCTCCCACCCCCGAAAAATTCAAGTGCCCCCCCCCCCCCCGAGAATAAAGTCTGGAAGAAACACTGAATATAATAGGTTAGGTAACATATCACATAGCAATACAATAAGGAATAGCCTTCAATAAAACATATCACATAGCAATACAATAAGGAATAGCCTTCAATAAAACATATCACATAGCAATACAACAAGGAATAGCCTTCAATAAAACATATCACATAGCAATACAACAAGGAATAGCCTTCAATAAAACATATCACATAGCAATACAATAAGGAATAGCCTTTACAAGCGTAACAATTCTTATCTCTGATCACCATTGTTATATTATTCGCGTCGCAGTGTTAAGTGTTAAGTACCGTGTGATAGCATCATGCGTCGAAAATTAGAATTCACGAACTGAATTTTTTTTTATCCACTTTCTCATGGATATAGGCAAGTACGCCTACATATACATTTAACTTCCTGCTTACGAGTCAAAACAAGCACATTTTTAAATCAAATTTATTTTAAATTAATCAGCTGACAATAAAAATTTAAAATCAACATAGTTTTTATTTTAAATTAATCAGCTGACAATAAAAATTTAAAATCAACATAGTTTTTATTTTAAATTAATCAGCTGACAATAAAATTTTAAAATTAATACAGCATCTTATTTTAAATTAATCACCTGAATAGTTTAACGCACGTGAAATTAGTTTCTGTTTAATTTACCTGCTAACGTGTGTCCTGATCAGGTCACGCTTGAAAGAGAAGCCTGCAACGCCCGTAACACAATTTTTAATCCCGCTGAAAAAAAAAATGTAATTTTGATAAGAATGTTGCAGACTTTAAAAAAAAAACCTTCTTTAACGTGGGGTTCTACGTGGTGGAAGGTTACAGCGGGTTAAAGTTAAAAGGGTGGATGTGTGTGTATGTTTGGAGGGGAGGGCCGGGGTCTTTAAGGTTATCAAACGCATTCCTTTCAGTAACAAATATCCGGTGAGTTTGAGCCTAGTTTTTTTGTTGTTGTTTTTTTTACCGTACGGGTGAAATACTTGGTAACCTTGACCTATTGGAATTTGATATTTTACTGTTCAAAACAGATTTTGAACAGGAAGTGTGGATTGAGGTATCGTAATAGGCCAGTCACGGCAACTAAAACTGAGGTATCGTAATAGGCCAGTCACGGCAACTAAAACTGAGGTATCGTAATAGGCCAGTCACGGCAACTAAAAAAAATGTGGACTGAGGTATCGTAATAGGCCAGTCACGGCAACTAAAACTGAGGTATCGTAATTGGCCAGTTACGGCAACTAAAATTGAGGTATCGTAATAGGCCAGTCACGGCAACTAAAAAAAATGTGGACTGAGGTTTCGTAATTTACGACTGAAGTATCGTAGTAGGCCAGTCACGCTAAAGTATCGTAATAGGCCAGTCACGGTAAAAAAAAAATTCAATAATTTTTTTTAAACTTTTTTCTGTAGGGGGGTGGGAAATAGCGTAGTAATTGAAATCAAAGAGAGTGTCAGAGCGATCTCCAGAACCGCATTAATTATCATAAATTACACTTAACCTATAAAAAAAATTTAAAATTTCTCTGCATAACGGAAGTTGGTTAGGTCAAGGTCGAGTTTACACTAAAGGTGTCTTGTTTCTTTTTACCGGCTTTCCATAGAGCACCCGACGGAGCACCCTGCCACCCCTTCCCCTACCCCACCCCCACACCCCTTGGATTTTACTGACGCCTCCGCCATTATGCCACTCAATTTTAACACCCACCGTGCATTCCGGTATTTCAAGATGACACTTGTGATGTTATATTTTTATACATACAAGCTCTGTGTTTCTAGAATGATTCGAATGCAATTTAAACACCTGTCAAAACGCAATTATTATTTTTGTTTAAATTGTTTTCTTATTGCACGGCAAAAAAACCTGTCTTTTTCTTGTGCTTGCAGATATAGTAAATTAACAATAGGCTAGCAGGAATAGTTATGGCTAGCAATAGGCTGGCGGAAATAGTCGTAGGTAACAATAGACTGGCGGAAATAGTCGTAGGTAACAATAGCCTGGCGGAAATAGTCGTAGGTAACAATAGACTGGCGGAAATAGTCGTAGGTAACAATAGACTGGCGGAAATAGTCGTAGGTAACAATAGGCTGGCAGAAATAGTTATGGCTAGCAATAGGCTGGTAGAAATAGTTATAGGTAACAATAGATAGGTAGAAAGTTATAGCTATCGGAAATAGTTGTAGGTAACAATAGCCTGGCAGAAATAGTTGTAGATAATAATAAAAAGACTGGTAGAAATAGTTGTAGATAATAATAAAAAGACTGGTAGAAATAGCTGTCCATTATATTTAACTTCAAGGAGGAGATAATTTCTAGTAGAACTCATTGAAAAATATGTTCGTACATAAGCAAACACTTTACCTGGGGGGGGGGGGGGTAGATTTTATGACGAAGTTTGATATGGGAAGAGAGTGAAGCTTAAAAACTTTGACTTAAAGCAATTTTTCAAAAACAAAATTATGATAACATTGAAAATAGCTGAGTAAAATTAACTCATAAAAACGTTTTAATAACACGCTTGTGTGTAATAATGCACTAAAAAGTAGAAAATAAATTGTTTTCTTTAAATATATGATAATACACTACTATTTAAATTACTATAAAGAAAAGCGTGCCAACTATGAAACGAATCTGTCAGAAGAGCCCAAAATTTATCTTGGACGTTTCGATCTATGACGACAGACAGACTGTCGACGGACGGACGACAGAGGAAGCAAGTTAAATAAAAGCTTGTAAAAATAGCTTTATTATTTGTAAATACGTTTAAATTATTTTAATCGTAAGCAACTCATTTTATTTTTGAAAAAAAAAAACCACATCTTTTGAGTGAGTAAAATCGTTTAAAATTGTGTTTCGCCATCTATAGACAATCCGGTAAGTAAATGACCGTTGTTTGAACTTGTCCTGACACTTAATTAGCTCAAGACTAATTAATCTAATGTTTAACCTGTCGTTGTGTGTGTTCGTAGATTATGAGCAAAAGGAGAAAAAGTGAAAATGACAGATATGGTTGCAGAGGAAAGGGAAAACGTCAAGGTATGGAAACAGAGATACCGATACCGATACCGATACCGATACCGATACAGGTACAGGTACAGGTACAGGTACAGGTACAGGTACAGGTACAGGTACAGGTACAGGTACAGGTACAGGTACAGGTACAGGTACAGGTACAGGTACAGGTACAGGTACAGGTACAGGTACAGGTACAGGTACAGGTACAGGTACAGGTACAGGTACAGGTACAGGTACAGGTACAGGTACAGGTACAGGTACAGGTACAGGTACAGGTACAGGTACAGGTACAGGTACAGGTACAGGTACAGGTACAGGTACAGGTACAGGTACAGGTACAGGTACAGGTACAGGTACAGGTACAGGTACAGGTACAGGTACAGGTACAGGTACAGGTACAGGTACAGGTACAGGTACAGGTACAGGTACAGGTACAGGTACAGGCACAGGCACAGGTACAGGTACAGGTACAGGTACAGGTACAGGTACAGGTACATACACACATACACACAGGAACACTAATACAAAAACACCTAACTCTGACAACGGCAACGTACCTTTCAGGTAAGCGCATCCGTCAGTACTTACCCACTCACCACGTTACCTTCCTACAGCTTTGAATTTCAATGTGTCAAGTGTTTATGCTAATTATCCGCCATGTTGTTTTTTTTTTTAACTATACCGCAAACACGCGTAAAAAGAATTTAAAAACTTAACTTCACACCCTTTCAATGGTTTCAGTCTTTTAGTCCAAGTTTCTATGCGGCCCTAGATATAATGCAAACCTCGCACAAAGATGATAACAACATGTACCGTAACGTTGATCGGGTACTTAAGAATCGACAAACTTAGTTAACGAGAGCCTGTGGGGGAATGTGAAGGAAAACTTTAGGCCCAAATCCCCGCGAACGTCTATTTTTTTTTTTTTTTTTGTATCATAGACTTTAAATGACTACAGTTGGATGAACAAGTTTAAAGAAATAAATTTCAAAAACGGCTACGGAACCCGTTTTGATAACTGGTGTTTGGGGATTTCATTCCTGCCAGCGATTCTTAACGTCTCCACCCCTACAACACAAACACACACACACACAAACACACACACACACACACGTAAGTACACATAGATCTACATAAAAACACTTTCACGCCGTTACATATATACATAGACATTTTCACACCTACATACACATACATATATACAGTGTCTATATATGTGTATAAATATATTAATTTTTACATATACTGATACATGTATACATATATATTGTATGTGTGCACATACGCATGTATGCATATATATATACATATATATATATATATATATATATATATATATATATATATATATATATATATATATATATATATATATATATATATATATATATATATATATATATATATATACAAAAAGAAAAAGAGACATGACTGATATATACATATATATATATATATATATATATATATATATATATATATATATATATATATATATATATACATATAGGCCTATATATATATATATAAATATATATATATATATATATATATATATATATATATATATATATATATATATATATATATATATATATAAATATATATATATATATATATATATATATATATATATATATATATATATATATATATATATATATATATATATATAATATATATATATATATATATACATATATACGAATATATGTTGTTGGTTATGTACCAGATAACAGCAAAACAAACTTCTTATCTTTTAATTGTTGGTACTAAAAACATATTTTGTATCACTTATAAAATGTTTAATTACCTTATTACAATTATTTTTTAGCAGTATTTGAGACCTATATTGATCAAAGAAACTATTTTAAAAATCTGTAATTTACCTTTGTCTATGTTCTCAGGTGAGCTGAAATACCTGTTCCCCTTTTCAATCAAGCTTTTTATTTTATTTGAAATGAACTAAAGAAAGCAACTTGCAGTTCCGTTTTTTTTAATGCAACACTACATGCACACGAAAATGAAAGCCCCTAGCTTGTGACGTCACAGTACTTACCTGTGCAGTCCTCCCCTCCCCCCCCCCCCATCCATGTCACCTAGGTATGTCATGTCTACCTGTATTGATATAAGGCTCGAGTTACAAGGCAAACTGTCAAATTTGGTTAACCTGGGTCTCACGCCCTGCTGAGAGGTATGCGATGTAACTCGTACAATCGACCTAGACCTGGCTAAGTGCTGGTGGGCGTGGTCAGGTCCTGATGGGCGTGGTTATGTCATTTTGGGCGTGGTTAGATCACGGGGCGTGGTCAGGTCCTGATGGGTGTGGTTATGTCATTTTGGGCGTGGTTATGTCCCATTTGGCGTGGTTAGGTCCTGATGGGCGTGGTTATGTCATTTTGGGCGTGGTCATGGCCTGATAGGCGTGATTATGTCATTTTGGGCGTAGTTAGGTCCTATTGGGCGTGGTCAGGTCCTGGTGGGCGTGGTTAGGTCATTTTGGGCGTGGTCATGTCCTGATAGGCGTGGTTATGTCATTTTGGGTGTGGTTAGGTACTATTTGGCGTGGTTAGGTCCTGATGGGCGTGGTTATGTCATTTTGGGCGTGGTTAGATCCTGGGGCGTGGTCAGGCCCTGTTGGGTGAAGTTAAATCCTGTTGAGTATGACTATATCATGGGAAGCCTAGCTACTTCCAGTTGAGGTCGCCAAATCATATTAGGTGTGGTCATGTAGGCCTACTGCTGGGCGTGTTAAGATTCTGCCAATAGTAGTAGAATCATGGTAGTCAATGCTGTCGTGTTGGGCGTGTCAATATTTTTTGGGGCGTGTCTTAACTATGTAGGATGTGGCAAATCTTTATGGAGACAGGGTAAATTATTCAAAACTGTGTAGCAACACAATTATGATCCCTAAGGTGTAAACAAGTTCAAATGGACGGTAACATTCTATTAGTGGTTACAAAATTCTGTTGAACATTTAAGTTTTATTAGACAGGAAAGCTGCTTTGGGCGGTAAAGTTTATCAGAGGTAAAGTTCTTATAGGCTGCTATATTCTACTGGTCATAACGCTCTATGTGACGTTATATTGCAATGAGTAAGTCCAACTCAACTTGACAATGTTATTTATTTTTTTACGATTGAGCTAAGATTGAGCTAAGATTAAGCTAAGATTGAGCTAAGATTAAGCTAAGATTGAGCTACGATTGAGCTAAGAGCGAGCTACGATTGAGCTAAAATTGAGCTAAGATTTAGCTGAGATTGATCTAAGCTTGAGCTACAATGAGCTACGATTGAACTAAGATTGAGGTAAGATTGAGCTACGATTGAGCTAAGATTGAGCTAAGATTGAGCTACGTTCGAGCTAAGATTGAGCTAAGATCGAGCTAAAATTGAGCTAAGATTGAGCTAAGATTGAGCTAAGATTGAGCTACTATTGAGCTAAGATTGAGCTAAGATAGAGCTAAGATTGAGCTAAGATTTAGCTAAGATTTAGCTAAAATTGAGCTAAGATTTACCTACGTTCGATCTTAGATTGAGCTAAGATCGAGCTAAGATTGAACTAAGATTTAGCTGAGATTGATCTAAGCTTGAGCTACAATTAGCTACGATTGAGCTAAGATTGAGCTAAGATTGATTTAAGATTGAGCTAAGATTGAGCTAAGATTGAGCTAAGATTGAGCTAAGATTACAACCGCTGGTGATCCAGGCAGACTCTATTCATATCAGGGCTACAGGGGAAACTACTGGACACAAAAGTGGACACACGTATATGCTGGCGCAGCTTGGGAGGGGGTGCTGTTAGGGTGGGTGGAGGGGGGGGGCACTATTACACTACAACAGATGTAACCCTTTTCAGCTTCCGCTTCCTTTGGGTTCGAACCCATGACCAGTAGTTACACTCTACCAGCCAACACGCCCAACCATTGGTTGGTCACGTGGCGTTGAACACGAGTGTGACCCGGGGCGTGTCGACCCCCTCAGGAATTTCTGTTCCGATCCCCTGCGCACGATGATGCGCATTTCGAATCACTAAAGCAAAACTATCTTTCGGCAGTTTGCAGGAGTTGAATAAAAAGAAAAGCCTTTCATTTGTTTTCTTCTATTTACGTAACTTTCAGAGAATCACGATCCATCACATAAAAAGTTTAATACTATACTTTTGCTTGTGTGCTTTAGTAATCGTTATTTTAAATGTGGTACTTGTCGACTCTTTGATTCGATACCGAAGGAAACGATACTTTAATTTGGAATACCGAACCATGAAATCGAATTCTTATGATCACCATATATCTTAGCCAGAAAAAGCAATATGAACAAAATGTGGTATTTCAACACCAAGGGTAGACTCAGGTACAGAATATAGTCCGAGTAAAGACAGTAGAGACAGTAGAGACCAGAGTTTCTTCCAGGCATCTCTTAGGAGGGGAGGGGGGGGGGGACAAGCCCCTTCCCCCCCCCCGAAAAACTTTTACCGCCCCCCCCCCCCCCCCCCGAACGAAATGAAATTTATATAATTTATATAGAAAATATATGCTTTACACACACATATATATATATATATATATATATATATATATATATATATATATATATATATATATATATATATATATATATATATATATATATATATATATATATATATATATATATATATATATATACATATATATATATATATACATATATATATATATATATATATATATATATATATATATATATATATATATATATATATATATATATATATATATATATATATATATATATATATATATATATATATATATATATATATATATTTAACAGTGTCCGCCCCCCCCCCGAAGAAAGTTTACCGCCCCCCCCCCACCCGAAAATTTAAAGTGCCCCCCCCCCCCCCCCCCCGGAGAAAAAAGTCTGGAAGAAACACTGGTAGAGACAGGGGACGGAGTGGTCCTGCTAACCTGTAAGTCTCGAGTTCGAATCCGGGTTCAAGTCCCTGGTCATACCCACCTCTGATGGGTACCTAACTTACGTTAGGGAAAGCAAAGGGCGGGCATAGTGCTGACCACACTATCTCTTCATATGCCGAGGTCACAATCAAGTGAACTCTACTTCACTTGCCCTATAGACCGTCGGGTTTGAAAAGGGAACTTAACTTTAAAGACAGCAGTTTCAACCAAGCGAGAACCGAGCCAACCATTCCAAGCGGCACCAAATCCAACCGCTTTATATCTTAAACATTGAGCTTATCTTAACCATTGTACCGGTCCTAGCACAAAGCGTAACTCTAACGTTTAGAGCAGGGGTCTCCAAACTAAGGCCCGCGGGCAAGATGCGGCCCTCGAGGTCCTCTCATCCGGCCCTCGGCGATTTTTTGTCCACGGAATAAATGTTTGTTAGAGGTGGCTGAGAAACTATGCCCAGAAAATTCAAAACAATTTGAAAATGTAGCTTTGGGTGCAAATACCATTGCCCGCCGTGTTGCAGACATCGGTGAAAACATCGTGACTCAAATAGCGAAATTGCAAGCAAGTTTAGCAATTTTTTAATTGTAATGGATCAGTCGCTGGACAGCTGTTCCACATCTCAACTGCTTATATTTATTAGATGTGTGGATGAAGACATAAACATAACACAAGAGCTTGCTTCCCTACATAGAATGTATGACACTGTTACCGGAGAGAATATAAATAGTTCAAAGACAAGTTAAAAGATACAAACACAGAATCGCAAATTTTTCTGAGCAGATTTTTTAAATTAAGAAAGGAAATAGGTGACTTCCTTACAAGTAAAGGCACACGCTGATGTACTTACTGTCTGATGAAGAGTGGGTATAGAAATTGGCCTCTGCTGCAAACATAAAAAGTCATTTAAATTTTCTGAACCTAAAACTACAAGAG